CTTCCTTTGTGGCCGACCAGCCCCATAGCATTTCAATTCATTTCATTTGGCCAAAAGCTGCTGGATCGACAATTTGTTGCCGCTTTTATTGTTGTTGTTGTTCTGCCCTTACGCGTGTTGGTGCTGTTCTTGTCAGTGTTATTGTTTTAAATTATTTGCGCGCGCTCTCTCTTTCATAACAATTTTGAATACGCGCGCAAACCGGCAAACAACAGACGAACTCCGTGGCAACAACAATAATCACAATGAGAGCGACGACAACAAGAACAACAACAGCAAACAGCAATAACAACACGTAAAACAAACAAACGGCAACGACAACGACAACGGAAGTTTATTTATGAGCTCTTATTTATTTAAGCGTAAACGATAAGCCCGCCAATCTGTAAATGTATTTGTTTCTCAGTACGCATACACGCGTGTGTATGTGTGTATGTGTGTATGTGCGTGTGTGTCTGCCTGTTTGTGACAATTGTTGCTGTTGCAAGTGTCGGCAGAGACCGACCGACAGCCGCACCGTAACCGGCTTCTTTGCTCTGACAAGGTCGTTATTGATTATGTTGCCTTTGTTCGTTATTATTGCCATGAATTCTTATTGCAGCTATTGTTGTTGTTGTTGTTGCTGCTGTTACGCTTTTATTGTTGCTGCAATGTAAATAAACGAAATGTGTGGGCAAATGCAAGTTTGCGATTTGAATGAGAAAATGGGGGAAATGAAGTGCATGTGGACGCGAAACTACTATTTCATTTTTAATTTGGAAAAACTTGCAGAAATACAAGTAGCTGAATCTTAGAAAAAGTGCGAAAAGGAAATGTCCTGAATTTTCATTGTCTGCTTCAAATGCTTTTATGAAGGACACAACAAATTTTTGAAAAATTAAGTAAAAGCAATCATCAATATGTTAGTATTTGGCTATAAATTTGGATAATATTCCGCTATAAGTATCTACAACAACTTGAATCAAATCTTATTTAAGCTGACTAACATTTTTAAAGCTTTGCAAATATTTCGTTAAATTTTTTATTAAATAATAAGGCTGAATAATAATGACTGAATAAGTTCTTACACAAGGAATCCTGACATTTTTAAAAAGTAATCTTTTTATTTCCCATCCCATCACATCCCCACTTAAAGGCCTCTAAGAGCATATTTTTAACTTTTTATTAAACGCACTTCGTAGCGGCGGCATTTTATGTTATCTATGCATTGATTTTTGTTTAACATATAAATCTGAAAAAGCAAGAAATATAAAAATTACAAGCATTAAATTGCAAGTAAAAATGTTTCAAATTGTTGCCCTGCACTATGAGAATAGTTTTCTGTTAGAAACTAGAATCTATTTGAGCCTTAATCCAAGCTAGAAACTATCTCGCCCATCATACCTAGCACCAAATTTTCGCGATGTTGCAAAAACTGCATTCTATCATGAATGTTGTTTTCATAAGCCTAATGGGCCATTAGCTTAGACGCATAAATTGAATTAAGAACTAATTGCATTTTAATTAATAACACACTCTCACACACACACACACACACAGCTCACAATCATTTGCAACAAAATCAAATCAATTTAAGTCACAACGGGGCGTATGCTTAATTTAAAAAACGCTGCTAGACAGAATCGAATGGCAATACAAAACAGCAACAACAACGGTGAATACTTAGCGCCAGTGCGGCGCTTTGGCTTGAACTATTTGCAGCAATTAATAAAAACTGACAATATAATCGGTGCGACAAGTAGTTGGCCAACCAACTAGCCAGCCAATCGTCCAATCGGACTAACCAACCGGCCGTTCCACTGTCGGCCCAAATGTGGCCGAGGGGTGGGGAGGCGGCAAGCGGCTAGAGCTGCGTTTGCTTTGCTTTGTCGGCATGGCTGGCCGCAAGAAATCGGAACAAAAAAATATGTATATATACACACACACACACACACATACATACAATACAAGCCAAAAGCAAAAATATTAATAAGCACTGCCCGCAATTAATAGCGCAACTTAAGACTCTATATAGGGTAATTAAGCGGCGCTTGTGAACATTTTTCCTTTGGCGACGCCGCCACCGCCACCGTCGCCGTCGCCGACGCTGTCATCTATCCCCCCAATGATGTTGTTGCACTTGTTGTTGCTGCTCTTGTTGTTGTTGTAGCTATGTCGGTGCTGCCGTTCTCCTCTCTGCCCCTCTTTCTCCTTCTCTTGCACAGTTTTTGTTTTTAATTTTGTGTTTTTGTTGTGTTGTTGTTGTTGTTTTTGTGTCTCAGGTAACACAACAAGTGCAATGCACGCGCGCCAATGTATGCATTAGAGATGTGCGCGTGACACAGTCCCGTGGCCGTTTCCTTGTTATTTTCACACACAAATGTGCGGACAGTATTTTCAATTTATTTCAAAGTTGTGCTTGCTTTTTTGGAAAAAGTTAAGATTAAGATTTTGGAAGAAGCTTATAGGTTTTTATTATATATTATTTATTTCCAATGCTCATATACTTACTCATACTTATATACATAGTTAAATATATTTTTATATTTAGTATGTATTATATGTAATCCGAATGATTCTCAGAACATTTCTTCACTGCTCCCAAATGCTGTTTCAGGTGCCTTTTATTCAAACAATTCTTGTGTTTCAAGTTGTTCTTAAAATGTACTTATTTAGGATTGACGTCTCACACAAATACGCATTTGGAATTAAATTTAATTCCTTGTCTTACACTGAAAAAAATTGTTAAAAATATATACATATAAATCTACCGTCAGAGATCATTTTTCCTTCACTGCTTATAATCTTTAAGGAATGTTTATCTTAAACAAAGCAAAGTCTTCTTAGCACAATTTGTAGGCAATGCATTCATTTTATATAATTTACGATTTTCAAGAATGACTTTGAAGTTATATAGATATTTTAGGATGTATTGAAGTCTTGTTTTCAATTCCAAAATAATATTTATAATATAACTTTGTTTACTCACAAATATTTTGGCCCTTCACGACCACATCTCTAATATGCATATGTTTGTGTTTGTGTAGTGGTGTGTGTATTGGTGTGCGTGTATTGGTGTGCGTGTCCATAAGCACGCGTTTTGTTTACTCAAACGTAAATCCGCGGACGCACGTGAAATTTCTTAGACTGCTCCATCGCAGACACACTCAATATAAGTACATATACTTATATATGCATATGTATTGATGTGCGTGTGCGTGTGTGTGTGTGTATGTAATGTAGGCACAGGTAAACTAATCACAAACATGTCAGTGGAACTTCATCTAACGCCAGCTCTCTTGTCAATTTTCTGTTGTGTGGCAGTGTGCGGTAAAGATCACAGACTTTTTTGTTTTACTTTCAAACTTGTTGTAACAGACGCGCCGAACTTTGCCATAGACACGCCACTGACAGACAGCAATCAAAGCAGCGGCAGCTACAACATCTACAACAACAACATAAATGGCGGCGACAACAACAACTACGACTACGAAGCCTTAGTGATAGCAACAAAATATCAAATTGTCAACTTTTTTCCAACTTTTCTGCGCCCAAGTTCTTAGCAATCATAAATACTAAATTTCTGAACTACATTTCGGACTTCAGTATTTGAATATACTCTGCTCAAATAGTGTTTCCAAGAAAATAGTATACGTAAGAACTGCTCGACACCTTAGGGTTCAATGCTTCTTTATATCTTTACAAATAAAATAAATGTCGAAAAGTTTTCAGCATTATTTAAGCAATATTTCATTTGAAAGTTAGAAATAAGATATTTCGAATCTTCACTGCTTCAAAGAAAACTTCAAGACCTTTTAATGAATGTGTAATTTTTTTTTTCTTAACAATTGTCAATATAATTGCCTCACTTTACCTCAAAAGTATTTCCATTCTTTTGCTATTGAAATGCATTTAATTAAAGGGAAATCAGAAACGTATCTTCAAATTAAATAACAAATATTGTTTTCTAGTTATAAACGAACATTCTTTCAAATGGTCATACAAATTAGTGATCCACCAAAAGAAGATTTAAAAGATATTTGTTTGTTATCTTTTTCTTCATAATTTTTATTGCTTTTAATTTATATAAATAGATAAAATAAATAATGGATACAAATAATTTGGCTACTTAACCTAAAATCGAGAAAATAATTTTCAAATTTGGTTTCTAAACGTTCAACGTAACGTATTATTAGAAACTTAGAGATCATTATCAATGTTTCACAAACACTCTTCATTATTCAGCTCTGTTTGACCAAAAATAGAACCCATTACCGTTACAACTTGGAGCTGTGTTTATCTTCGGCTCATCTTTTTTGCCATTTGTAGAGTTTTTTTTTATTTTTTTATTTTTTGTACTCGTAATTGTGTTCTTTTTAGGCCTCTCTGTCGTATTTTGTTTGTCATTTGCATTTTGTTCACAATTTGTTGCTTTTGTTAATTTCATTGCTGTTGGCTACGCTTCGTGTCTACAGAGGAGCGGCAAAGATCAAAGAACATATACAAATATATATCTATATGTATATGTATGTATGTATGTATAAGTATACATTCCTACTTACAAATATACATACATACAGACATATTGATTGAAGATTTTTATACGTTTTCTGAATGGTTATTTATGCAGAGGCGCAGACAGGCGGACAAACGGACAGACGGCCCGACATGACAGACTGACACAGTGAAATACTATAATGTTGTTATTTTTGTTGTAGTTGCCATGGGAATAAACAGCAACAGCAACAACAACAAAAAGCGGCATGCGGTCATTTTATAAATGTATAGCTTCTTGTATCATTTACAAATTGCTTCAAATAGCGCAAAATCGCCGGCTGGCTTTGATTGATGTGGCCAGAAACGAAGCGACCTTAGTTTTTATTTTGGTTATATCTTCTTTTAAAGCCCAGAACAGACGTTCGCGACTGTGTGTCTGTGTGTGTGTGTGAGAGAGAGAGAGTGTGTGTGTGTGTGTGTTGATTACCACGCGACAATGACAATGTGAATTTAATTTGGTGGCTATGGGGCGTATGGTTAATAAACAGCATGCCGGCCGGCTGCCCATACAGTCGCTCGTTCAGTTATTTAGTGAGGTACATGGTTGAACTTCTTACCATGTTTGGCTAAATGCTTTGCTGGGGGTTTTTTTTTTGCAGCGTCTGCACGAAAAACAAAAGCAACAATGCGCGACGTAACACAACAAAAACACGAAAATACAAAAACAAAAAAATACGAACACGAAACGAAATGCGGCAAAAATTTCTTTGATCTTATCGCAAAGCTTCTTGCTCGCATTTTGATCAAAGCAAGTTTTTCCGCCAAAACACAAAAACAACAGCAACAACAGCCGCAAAGGCGACGTCTGCGTCGACGTCGACGCCAAGCGAGCCAGCAGAGCGAAGTCGTCGTCGCTGACGCTGCCAACACAACAAAGCCAGCGGCGTAGCGATCTCATGTGCTTTGTGAATGAGTGTCTGAAACTAAATACATACTATGTGTGTTTGTTTGTTTAGGTGAGAGGCACTTATGTATGTGTATCTCTGTGTGTGTGTGTGTGTGTGTGTGTGTGTGTATGTTGTTATTTCTGTTATCACTCTCACAGCTCTTAATGTTTACTCTACTGCTTATTTACAGACGTCGTCGTCGACGCGACTGCGCCACCTGTACGACTGCACAGTGGTGCCGACCGCGCTGCCACGGCCAACGTCGCTGCTACTGCTAGCCAATGTGCTGCTACTACTGCTGCTGCTCTCGCAAGCGCCAGCTGAGACACTGGCGCGCGCCACCAGCAGCAACGCCAACAGCAACGCCAACAGCAACAGTAACAGTAATAGCAACATACAAACGTTCTCTGTATCGAAAACAGACGACTCCGAGTCTGGAGCGGATTTGCAATCGAATGCGAGTCGCCAACGTGCGCCCCTGGAGACAAGCATGAACATGATTCAGCGCAACTTCATGGTAATGCACTCGCTGAGCGTCAACGATCACAGTCGCTCCTTGAAGCGCGTCCAGCTGACAAACTCGAGCATCACCTGCAACGATGCCTCCCATGCCGGTTTCTATTTGCGCAAACAGCCCAACTCGAAGAAGTGGATCGTATTCCTGGAAGGTGGCTGGCATTGCTTTGACAATCGTTCCTGTCGCGCCCGTTGGATGCGTTTGCGACATCTCATGACCTCCTCACAATGGCCCGAGACGAGAGATGGTAAGCGAGCAGTCATTTATTCATTATTAAAGCGAGTGTAGGAAAGCTTCTTTTTTTCAACCGACTTCAAAAAAGGGGCAGATTATCAATTCGTCTGTATTTTTTGACTAGACTAGAAAAATAAAAACTTTCCCAAAACAATACTATGTCTCGATCCCAGCTCGATCCTATCTTGAAATCAAAAATTATTATGTAAATCAAATAAATCTTCAGATAGATTCTACATTTTTAATTTTTAACAAAAGAGTACTGCTTCACATCTACAAGTATAATGAGGTTTTTTTTTAATTTTTTGCAGTTGGTGGCATACTCTCTCCGCACGCCGAGGAGAACCCCTATTGGCACAATGCCAACCATGTGCTGGTGCCCTATTGTAGCAGTGACTCGTGGTCGGGCACTCGCACCGAACCCATTTCGAAGGACAACAATTGGCGTTTCATGGGCGCTCTGATCTTGCGTCAGGTGATTGCAGATTTGATACCACTGGGTCTGGGGCGTGTCGCAGGCGGAGAACTGTTGCTGGTGGGCTCCTCAGCTGGTGGGCTCGGTGTCATGTTGAATCTGGATCGCGTACGTGAGTTTCTAGTGGAGGAACGGAAGCTTCAGGTGACAGTGCGGGGCGTCAGCGACTCGGGTTGGTTTCTGGATCGTGAGCCCTACACGCCCGCAGCCATGGCATCCAGCGAATCAGTGCGACTGGGCTGGAAGTTGTGGCAAGGCCTGCTGCCCGAGGATTGTGCCAAGGAGCATGCGTCCGAGCCCTGGCGTTGCTACTTTGGCTATCGCCTCTATCCCACGCTGAAAAGTAAGTTCAATTTGAAGAGATTACTTAAACCTAACATTCCTAACATTCGAAACCTCTTTAATGTGCAGCTCCACTCTTTGTCTTCCAATGGCTCTTCGATGAGGCACAAATGCGTGCGGACAACGTGGGTGCGCCAGTGACGCCGCAACAGTGGAACTATATACACGAAATGGGCGGCGCCCTACGCTCCTCCCTGGACAATGTGAGTGCTGTCTTTGCGCCGTCATGCATCGGCCATGCCGTCCTCTCCAAACGCGATTGGCTCAACATCAAGATCGATGACATCTCACTGCCCGCCGCTTTGCGTTGCTGGGAGCATGCGACGCGCCAGAAGCGTCACGACAAGCCCAAACGCTCCACGGAGGCCACCACAGCACTGCAACAAACCCAAAAGTCCCCGCACCCGAATAACCAAAGACATCAGCGCCACCGACACAAGCAGAACAATGTGGCGCAACGGAAGCGCAATCATCTGACAAAGGAGGAGCGCGAGGAGCGCAAACGTCACCGCAAAAAGGAGCAACAGTCTCCCAATGGTGGTCCCAATGGTAAACAACAGCGCAGACGCAACCGGCACAGAGACGAGACGCCGGAGCAGCAGCGGAAGCGTCAGGAGCAGCGTAAACGTCGCCGCCGGAAGCAGCAACAGCAGCTAAAGAAGCAACAAAAACAGCAGAAGCAGCAGCAGAAGAAGCAACAACAACACCATCATCTGGACAAGGAGCTGCAGCAGGAGCAGCCAGCAGTCGGTGGCGGCAATGAACCACAAAAGCGTCGCGCCTCCAATAGCGCCCAAAGGAGGCAGCGAGTGCCGCGCGTGCCCGAAAAGTGTGGACTGCGTCTATTAGAGCGTTGCAGTTGGCCGCAATGCAATCACAGCTGCCCCACACTAACGAATCCACTCACCGGCGAGGAGATGCGCTTCCTCGAGCTGCTCACCTCCTTCGGTCTGGACATTGAGGCGGTGGCAGCGGCGCTTGGCGTCGACATGCATACCCTAAACAATATGGAGCGAACCGAGCTCGTCAACTTGTTGACGCAGCAAGTCAGCTGAGTGGCAACAGCTGATGGCGAGTTGTAAATAGTTGTCCTGTATATACATAGCGACTCACATCCCATCTAATTGTACATATTTAAATGCTCTTTCTCTCCTCTCTCTCTCTCTCGCTCACTAGTTCTTTCTTTCCTTTAGAGCCGGCAAAAGGTTGCTCTATTAAGTTGGCTTCCTCAATTCTTAAAAGACATGCGCATCGTACCCAGTTAATTAAGCAGAGAATTAATTTATTAAAACCCACACACCTCCCTCGTATTATGTAGTTATATGTTATATATATATAGTATAAATATATTTTTAGCTAAGCCAAAACTGCATTGCACGGCCAAACGAACAAAGAAAGGATAATCTGAAAATCGATTGAGATTTGTGCGGCAAATCGAAGTTAAGATCAGCATAATGGAGGAAAAACTATAACACAAATGCAACCACAAGACTGTTTTTATGTTTTTTTTATGTAACATTTATTTAAATTATTCATAATCTAGCTATGGCATTTATAACTAAGTATGTGTATGTTTTTTTTTATAAATAGTATGGACTGTTTCAGTTGCCCGACATATAACGTGTTTATTATTTTTTATTTTTTTATTTTTTTTTATCATTATATTTCGTACCTACCTCAGCAAAGCATCAAGAAATATTTTTTAATAACAAACAAATTATCAAATACAGCTGCCTTTTACAACAACTTCAATAACAACAACAGCAACAACAACAACAAAAAATATCATTGCGTACCTGTGCAAAAATTAAATCAAATACTTACCACATACATACTATATATAAATATATATATATATAATTCCAAATGTATCTATATACATAGTTTAATGCATACATTTTATATTCGCATTCCGTTCAAACCTGTATTTGTTTAATGTTTAAAGCTATACAATTAAATATTATGTAATAATGAGAACAACTCGAATATGTCAAATTGTTGTAAAGAATTGATGATAAAAGAAACAAAAGGGAAACACAGAGACAAACAAATGTCAACAACAAATCAAAATCTATATCTATTAACTATTACTACTACTATGTAATACTACTGCTTAGTGATTAGTCTGTACAGCCTTGGTTGAAGTTAAGTCTTAAGTATTGTTGTGCTTCAAATAGTTCTAAGGATTATATTCAAACAAACTAAGCCTACACACCTACTTGTTACAACACATTAGTTTCTTAGTTAAATTAAATGCAACACCACAACAACAAACTAAAACTAAAAACTAAAACGCAAAAGAAAATAAAAACACAAAACTATTTACATTTAAAAATATTATTGTGCGCATTTTTATTAAATTTTATTTGTTTTTTATTCATTTATGCACAATCGCATTTGCGAGCTTTCTTGGAAGCTCTATATCACCAATATAGTAATTTTGTCGTCCTTCAATAAAAAACCTAACTGAAATTTAAAATTAAAATTAAAACCAACAAATTTAAATTTCTAAACCATTACGCTTTTTACTATAAAACGTCTTTTGACAGCGTCTATTTTTATTTTTTAACTTAAATTTGAACAAAACAACTACCCCTTACTCTTATTTGTTTCGCTTAAAAGGAAACTATTTAAAACAATATTTTGCAATTAAAACGTTGCCTAGTTTATTGGTCTCTGGTTCTTAAAATAAGTCACAAGTGGAACCTTAACACCTGATCTGATTTCTCATAAATATTATATGATTTTTTATAGATTTGTAGGCACCTCAATGGTTTATACAGAGATGATCTGAATAGTCCCTGTTATGAAGGTTGATCTGATTTCTCATAAAAATTATACGATTTTCCCGAAATAGTCCAATGAACAGCGTCTATTTTTAAATTAAATTGGAACAAACATTTTCAACCCTAACTCTCATTTATTTACTTTAAAAGGAAACCATTAAAAACAATATTTTGCAATTAAAACGTTGCCTAGTTTATTGGTCTCTGGCTCCTAAAATAAGTCGCAAATGAAACCTTAACGCCTGCATCTCTGAAGGCAATCAGCATTGGTGCAATAACGGTTGTTGTTGCCGCCACAGCCGCGATAACGCATTCTTATGCAGGTCCTTTGTCGGCTGTTGTAGTACCACATAGGATCCTGGGAGGTGAGACCGCACAATCGACCATTCGCATTACCCTCATCTCGGCCACCAGTACACACCTGGAAGACTATAAGAAAATAAAATCTATAAATGAACTGCATTTTGGAGGACAGAAAAGTTACTTACAAGGCCGTCCACGACAGAGCACAGGAGGCTGCGCCTTTATGTGCGCCACACAGATTGTCAGCAAGAGCAGAGCGAAAAGGAATTTCATACTGATTTGTGCAACAAGCTTTATCTGATTGACAGCACGAGTGCAGGCGCTTTTATAGTGTATCTTACAGCGGGTTGGCCTAAATTCTGCTTATAATATACGTGTTATTAATATTCGAGTATATCTGGTGCGAAGTTTTCAAACAAAGCCGCCCTAAAGCAGCGACCTACTGCGAAAATCTGGTCTGGCTGTAATACAAAACACCTGGAGTGGTCACATCTATTGTTTAAGTACAGTTACATTTAGGCTTATAGTACAACCTATAGTAAGTCGCTAAAATTGGCAGGTCAGCATAAGGTGGCACTAATCCGAACAAAAATGCTCGGGCTTTCTTCAAAGATGGCTGTTAAACCATTGTGGATATATACAATAGTACCCACTATATATATAATGGATGCATAGTGGTGCCGCACTTTCTTCAAAACTTTATCTCGACTTCCCAGCTTAAGTTTGCATCGCTGCTTCTGTATCGAAATTATTATTCTTTTTAGCATGCCATCTAGTCTTTTTTTAATGTTTCAACTAAACTGCATTTCAGAATGCAAATATAAATTCCACAAAGTATTGAAAGAGTCGTTGAAAGCAGATAGTTCGATGTGGTTGCAGTCGTTCAAATCTTGTGATGATTTTTCTGAAGAGTTATTGCTATTGTTGCTATTGTTTGTTCAGCCGAAGAGATGATCTGAATAGTCCCTGTTATGAAGATTGATATGATTTCTCATCAAAATTATACGATTTTTACAATGTACCATTTTTTATACAGATTTGCACCTCAATGATATATAACCAAAGATATGATCTGAATCGCCCCTGTTATCATGGTTGATCTGATTTCTCATCAAGATTATACTATTTCTCCGCTGTACAATTTTTTCAAAAGATTTGTATCAACCTCAATGACTTACAACCGATGAGATGATCTGATTTCTTATACAGATTTGCACCTCAATGGTATATAACCAAAGATATGATCTGAATCGCCCCTGTTATCATGGTTGATCTGATTTCTCATCAAGATTATACTATTTCTCCGCTGTACAATTTTTTCAAAAGATTTGTATCAACCTCAATGACTTACAACCGATGAGATGATCTGATTTCTCATCAAGATTATACGATTTTGCGCTGTACAATTTTTTATACAGATTTATATACACCTCAATAATTTTTTTATCGTATATTTTCATCGCGTCAAAACTACACTGACCAATTGCCAATTTATTTAAGATCCCTCGGAAACAAATCCTTGACAGCGCTGAATAATCTTTGACATTATTGCCTTCGCTGGTGAAACTAGTATCTTAACTGCACAGTAATTCACATAATCTTGCATTACCAGACTTGGCACAGCATTAAAGGCTGCTGGCACAACAGTTGATTTGGGCGATCTTTACGAAAATCGTCCTTCATCGGTAGATGACAGTGCCACAGGATGGCATCAGATGCTGCCAGAACTGTTGGGCTAATTATTTCATCACTCGCCAGCTTCCCACTTACATTTTTAATTACTCTTTTAATGACTATTTTTAATTATGTCGCCTTCTAAGCTGTCTTCCGCCTAGTACTTAATTATTTAAATAAATTAGAAGACTCAAGCCCAGACTGCATTCAATTAAATCGTCATCTTTTTATGTATTCTTAGAAGTTTATTTGTCATATGCATGTCCTGAAGTAAGTCATAAATTTCAGAAATCCAATGGAAACTTAACGCCTGCATCTCTGAAGACAATCAGCATTGGTGCAATAACGGTTGTTGTTGCCACCGCAGCCGCGATAACGCATTCTGATGCAGGTCCTTTGTCGGCTGTTGTAGTACCACATAGGATCCTGGGAGGTGAGACGGCACAATCGGCCGTTGGCGTTGCCCTCATCCCGGCCACCAGTGCACACTTGGAAGACTACAAGAAAAGCAAACGCGTTCAAATCCAAAATTTTTGGGATATAGCTTCAAGTTGACTTACCAGGACGTCCACGACACACCACTGGGGGCTGAGCATTCAACTGCGCCACACACACTGCCAAACACACCAAAGCCAGAACGATTTTCATATTGATTGATGTAGTAAGATGATGGATGTCCAAGTTGAACTGATAACCAGATCGATTGCATGCGCTTTTATAGCGAGTCTTTAAGAGAATTGACCCAGTTTTCAGACACGCGTCTTAATGTCAGTCTGGAGTCAAGTTTCCAGACAATGCACCGACCCATTTCGGAAAAACTTCAAGACAAAAAGCATGCAGTGGCCACATATGCATTGTTTAAGCCACTTATTCACACAGCTTATGGCCAAAAATAGCAAGTCAGCTGAGGGTGTAGGTAGGGCTATAATGCGTACAATACGGATATAGAATGTCAGGGTTCAAGAGACTTACAACAGGACACATGGACAAATGTCCTCTACTTGATTGCCTTGCCTGTCAACGTCAATTAATTATTTGTCAAAGCAATAATGGTATATTTATAACTAACAACAAATATTAAAAAGATGACATTAATTAATAATTAATTAATAATTAATTAATTAATAATGCTCGCCCTGTATAACACATTTTTACCAAAAGCTAGCAAAGTTCATATGAATTCAATTGTGTTCAATTGTGTGGTCCAATCTGCAAGCAGATTTAATCCTTGTACACATCCTTTTAAGCTTTATGTAATATTCACATTAACCGATCCGATTCTTCTCTTCTTCATCCGCTTCACATATGTTGATTTACCGATTTAATTTTATTTTATCTATAATAAAACCTGCTTTTGCAGATTTCTGAATGAATTTCAAACGAAATCTTGCAAACTTATTCAGTTTTTTAGATCTCCGAGAACAAGTTCAAACATTGAAGAGGTGATCTGCATAGCAGCTTTTGGTACAGTTAGTTTAATTTCTTATCATTATAATAATAAAATAATTTAGTCAACCAAGCGAAGTGGATTTGGGCTCTTTAGATAATGTCCCATTCTTTGAAAGAGCAGATATGACATAATCTTATAGAATCAGCAGCATCTGTTGAATTGGTAGCTATTTCGATCTATATGATTTCAAGATAAAGCCTATATATATCAAATACATATATTATAATCATTTATTGCTTATAGCTTAAAACAATTAAAGCCTTCTCCATCAATGGAACACGTGAAGGAATCATACAGTGGACCAATGGGTTGAGATATGTTGGGCATGGATTTTCTTTTTCTGTTTCAACACGGAAACTACAACAAATTTTGTTTGATAAAGTACAGTTTTTTTAAATTAAGAGCGAATCTACGACTGTAGAAATGTTTACTCATTTAAATTCAAAATTTTAATTTTTGGCTTTATGAATAATTGGCGTTCGTCTTTTTACGTCCCAATTAAAATAACTTTAAATACTTATTGTAATTTCGAAATTATTATAGGACCCATAATTATAATACTAAGTATTTGTATGGGTTGGACGAATGCTGTCAACTTTTTAAATATCTACTCTGCCAAATAATGGTAAGAAATACGTATTATATAATACGTATATAAATATTTCTTGTACATACTATATATTCAGTCAGTATTGTAACAATTCTTAACAATTTAAACCGTTTTGTAATTGTTTTCTACACATTCATTAAAATATAAATACGCTTGTTATACGCTGTACCCAAAGGGTACAAGGGTATATTAGTTTTGTGCGAGTGCACATGGAACACACAGAAGGAGGCTTGGTAGACCCCACAAAGTATACATATTCTTGATCAGCATGACAAGCCGAGTCGATATAGCCATGTCCGTCTGTCCGTCTGACCGTCTGTCTGTCCGTCTGTCTGTCCGTCTGTCTGTCTGTATGAACGCAAGGATCTCCGAAAGTATAAGAGCTAGAATAACCAAACTTGGTATACAGATTCTCCTGAGACCGAGAAAGGACGAGTTTGTTCATTTTTTCTGATCCACCCCCCCACTCCCCCCTATCAACGATTTTCTATAACTCCCGTAATTCTTGAACTAAAATTTGGTAGTCACATTAGGTTAATAATTATATATCCGTATACCAAGTTTCATTATGATAGAATGATCGAAAAGAAAGTTATAGCCATATAACCAGGCCCAATGCACACATACATACATATGTAAAAGTACACAAACACGCATAAGGCACGATTCTGATGTAAATGCAAATGTATGTATGCATGCATGGACTATTTTATATTTAATTAGTTAATATTTAGTTAATTAATTAAATTAATTTAGTTAATTAATTTAATTCAATTAATTAATTAATTTAATTACTTTTTTGTGGGGTGGTACAGGGTATTTAAGAGTTGAGCCTGCTCGACTTTAGCATTCCTTTCTTGTTTTACTTATGGAAGGTAAACTCAATTGTTTAAGAATATGCAGAACTTCGACGAAAATTGTTTATAAGCCCTGCCTTGAGTTCATTTCACTTAAATTTGCACTAAAAATGCGCATATTTCCATTATTGTTTGTACTAAGTCTTTTGCTGTTGGCGACTGACGCTAGACGTCGAAGGACACCCAGTATTCCCAGCAATACCTGCAAAGGCAAACCAAGTAAGTTGACTCAGTTTCAGAACAGGCCTAAATGCAGCTTCGAACTCTATGTGGACTGTCATTATTTTTCTCAGATCGGCAGCAATGTGAAGGTCCCTTGGATCTTGGCAGCGGTGGTCGACGCTGTCGAAGATCGGCGAATAACAATATGTGGTATTATAATGCGGCAATGAACAGAACCTGCATAAAAATGGCCTACAAAGGCTGCGGGGGAAATAATAATCGCTGGTGCAGCAAACAGGACTGCGAAACCAAATGTCGTCGCTGAGCAAACCCCAAGCTATAGATTATATGCATTATACATAAATGCTAAGTAGGGAGTGTTAATTAAAAATGTGTTAGAAATTGTAATCTCAATCAAAGTATTTGTTAATCTTATTCATAATTAAATCCTAACATTTTTCAATACAGCGATTGTACAGATATGACTATAAATGGCTCTAGCTTGAGGGCTCACATTTTTTTACACATTTGTAAATAAAATAAAGTTAAAAGTTATATTATGACAAATATCAAATCTGCAATTTTGGCTTTAAATTAAATTTGTTCCTTAAATTGGATATAAGCAAAGAATAAATTAATGCATAAGCATTAACTTCAATGTATAAAGCCTCATAAGCTAGAAGGCTTAATAATACATCTGGAAAAGTACTGCTTTCTGGTCTTTAAACCCTGTTATGTATGGCTGCAGTAAATATTTATACAATTGTCAGAATTGGCAAGCCCCCTAAAATAAGCGAAAAGGCGCGTACCTTTATATACTTGTATGTATTGTGCTTTGTAATTCAACGCCAATTGTCTGTAGCCAACTGTTATTTAATTGCCCCGAACGAAAAATACGTCAGAATAGTATTGGCAATAATATAAAAAATGCTATTGACATTCCTTTTTCTATTTGGTGCTAGCTAGTAGAAAATCAAATGCGGAACACTGCAAAGGCCGGATAGGTTACAATTAAATAATATTTACACGCACCATCCAGTATTGCGATGTAAATATATTTCCTAACAAAAAAAGCTATTAAATAAATAACAATACGAGTATGTACATCGATTTGCTGCCAATTTAAATTCAATCTTGCAATAACTTTAATAAGCGAGCAAATATATACATAGCTGAATAGCCGGCACAGACCAAGAATATAACCTTAAAACTAGTATAAGCCACAATCGCAATTTGTTTCTTTTTGATATCTGGTCACACTAAAAGAAACCGGCGTTCCACGGTTAAGTACAAATATTGTTAACGGTTATGCACTTGAAGAGCCCTAGAGGTTGCCACATCGACAGAATATGAGGGCAATTCAACTAAACAGCTGAGCGGGTACAAGCAGTATAAAAAGAAAAAGTATTTTTCGATTTTACTTGAGCTAAGTTTTAATGGATTCTACTGCTCTGGGTCATGATGCGAAAATCAAATGAAGTTTCAAGTCGTAAAGCCCGTTTACAGTTATTTACAAAGAAAGACAAGATCTGCTTGATGAAGGCAGTGCAGAAAACTCCCGTATTGTGGAAACCCGACCATCCCAAACATCTTGATGCATACACCGCATCGAAGGCTTGGGATGTTATTGGAAAGCAACTGGACAAGGATGGTAAGTTAATGGAGTTTTTACAAGATTTCTCAACTCACGTGTACTTTTTTTGATTCAAAAGCGAGGAAATGCAAGGCTGCTTGGATATCTCTGCGCGAGAGCTATCGCTACCACATAAAGAAATGCCGCAAAAGTGACGGCAAAGGCGCCGTCAGTCTTGATCCAAAGGACATAAAATGGGAGTTTGCTCCGTACATGGCCTTTATGCTATATACGCCACCGCAGACACGGTTAGTTATTCATCTGTAATGAATGCTCGAGCCACCAACTAACTCATTTCAAATAGAAGCATAAACGAAGATTGTTCGCCGGTGATTGAAAGTGTAACCAGCTCGCCTGAAAAGGGAGAGGATGAATCAAAGGTATTGAGGCATGCAAGCCCAACAAGCCCACCCACAAAAGCAGACGAGTCAGATACTGAAATCTTGGATAGTATGAAAGCGGAGTTCGAGGAATATTGCTTACCACCTGAGTCTGGAAGCGAACCTATATGTGAGGACTCCTTACCCTCCAGCTCGTGCTCTCGCGTAAGCTAAATGTCATTATATAGATTCTATGGAAGTCCAAATATCTTTTTATGCAGAAAAGACAACGGTCTGTTGAGAATGAGACCGACACGCTTATTGGCGAGCTTCTACAGCGGCAAAATGCGTTGCTTGCCAAACATAGAGAAGTCCCTGTCGGTACCCAAAGAGATCTGCAAAACTATGATGTGTTCCTGTTCTGGGACAGCATCATGAAGGATATGTCGCCGGCAGCAGTGAGGGAAGCAAAATTTGCCATGACTGCTTTATTGAACGACATATCCAAGAAAGATATAGAAAATAATAATACAATTAAGAAATAAGCTAAGAAAATAAATTGTAATAAGTTTTTCATGTAACTTACGAGTATATTTATTTGAATTTATTTCTATACGCCCGTGACTTTATATTGCCAAAGATAATCCAAAGATTTGAATAATCCTGTGGCCGGCCATAATATGAGTGCCAAATTTTCTGTAGAGGCGCTACTGTCGCCTCAGATGAGTGATATGCTACATATCTAATAAATAAAAGAGGGTATTATATTAAAGGTTTCGAAAATATCATCAATCATTCAATACTACCTACTCAAGAACAATTGCCAGTTTAGCCTGAGCCGTAACTCCAGAAGTGCGTCACCTTTCAGCAACAACTTTTTTAAAGTTGGCTCTGCTCTTGTGGAATTTTCCCTGATATAATCGGGTTTCGCCTTATTCTTTCGAACTAAAACATAAGTACGAAGGATTCATTATTTCAACAATAAAAAAAGCAGCTCCACAAAAATAAATGCTCTTACCAGTCACGCATCTGCTTTTTGCAGCTCGCGCGCGTAAATATTTGTTTTTTTAATTTAGACTGCTTCCTCTTTTTAGCCAGCAGCGCCAAAATTCTGCTTGTATTAGGAATATAAAAGCTGCACAATAAATAGGCGTACATTTTAAATTTCGCTCTCTATTTTGTTAAACAAAAACTGAAACCGGCAAAAAAAGTGAGACCACCATTCTTGCTTTTAGAAAATACCAAGAAAATATTGTAACAGCAGAAATAATTGAGCATTTTTCCGATTTTGTGAGTGGACACACTCTTAAGAATTTAAAGCTACAAGCCGGCAGCACATTTGCGCCACAAGCTCACTCGCTTTCTGACCTTTTATTATTTATTTATGATTATGTCTTTAAATATATACTGTAAGGCTAAAAATTTAATGAACCCGTATAAGCTCATGCTCCACAATCATGAATAACACACTTATTACAGTTGGTTTTAGTTAATAATAATTTATTTATGTTTTCTGATTATTTCTGAAAAAAATCAGTGAACGATAAATTCTTTCCATATTCGAATTTATTTTAAGTTTATATTGCAGAATCATACAAATTGACAAATTCGTGATGTTCTGCTCAGAAAAATCATTACCTAGAAAATCATAAATATACCAGAGGTACGAAAATAGCTTCACTTTTTTGTGGTCCATCATGAGGACCATTTAATTAAATATTGGCAAAAGTACGTTTATTTAAAAGAACTTAATGATCCGTTACTTTAAAGCAGGCAAATTAACACTTATTAGTATTAATTTAAAAGTAAGCTTTGAAAAGTAGATTGGTTCTATCTGAAATATCATTATATTCTTGGCATACATACTACTTGTGAATTTGCATGCAAATTATTTGCATGTCGGATCATAAGTTAATGCAATAATTGCGATAAATAACAGAATAATAATAGTACTACCATGCAAGTGATTATTTTTGAATGTTAATCTACAGTTCATAAAAACATTTTGGAGGAATTTCTTTTAATTCTTTCAACTGCTGTGGAAAGTTGAAACGAAGAGAGGAGATGCTCAAAGAAATTGGAAATGTAACTCAAGCTGTTATGAGATCATATCTCACATACTTACTAATGTTATTCTATATTGCTCTCTTGTTCATGAGGCACCTTATTGTCCGTTCGTAAGTGTGTTTGGTGAATTAATTGAATAACCGAAAGACTTTTTGAGCTATTTTGCTCTTGAGTTGTCCCACAATTGTGCGGCTATGGGTGCGGGTGGGCTGCACAATGGCTGGGCATGAGAGGAATTGTGAATCTTCACAATTGCCGACCGCTTTCATTCAGAGACAACTGCCGTGCACATAAGACGCTCATTATTTCTGATCCGCACAGCTTACTTGTATTGCGTCGCTATTTAATGTCAAGTTTAAAGTGCAATTTATAAAATGGCCATCGTTCTACATTTTTTGCTACTCCTAAGCATTGCAGCATCGCTTCAGGGTAAGATTTTTGTCCAAGCTTCCTGTCCCATCTACCTGACCATTTCGCTGGAGGGCAAGACAATGCACGAGTCCTGCCTCGAAGTCAACTGGGGACCCGATTGCCAGACGCCGCCCGAATGGATTGGCATCTTCCATCAGGATCCATCGATCTCAAACTTTCAGCCGGAGGTGCGCATCGATGGCATTAGCAATAAGACTGGCAAAGTAACGACTCACATAAAAATTGGCAAGCTGAGCTTTCCCGGAGGTTGGAATCGTCACGATGATGATCACATTGCTCCCACCAAGTATCCCAAGGGCAAGTGTTTGCCCCACTATGTGGCCAGCTTCAATGGCACCGAACTCTTAACGGTTGAATGCCTCAAGATTCAACCGAATTGGTTGTCCCAGCTAAAGGGCATCGCAAAAGCTCCGATCAAGCGTCTCTTTCTGCCCGGCACACACGCCTCCGGGGCCTTCATCACAAACTACAGCAAGACGAAGTCGGTCCTGGTGAAGGACTATCTGGTGGCGCAGCACTTTGATGTGTGGGCTCAGCTGGTATTTGGGATACGCTATCTGGATCTGAGTATTGGGTGAGTGCAACCGAGTAAATGCAATGTCCTTAAAGCTAAAGTAGATCCCAAAAGCACTTGAGGTAGGACGAAATAGTTTGCACTAATTTTATGGTTGCTCTGAGAAAGAAATTAATTCATTTCGCTGTGATTTAAATTTTTTTTTTTATCTGTAAATTAAAAATTAAATATCTAAATACATGTTTTTCCAACTGACTAGTACATAGTTTCAAATTAATATACTTAAACATAATGAATACGACAGAAAATTCATAATAAGCTAAGTTCCTTAAGTCGTTTAGAGATCTTTATTTTGCATTCGTGTAGATTTGATTTTTAAGAACATTTTTCAATTTTGATAAATCTTGATTATAGACTATTGCCGCTTTGTCCAAAATGTAGAATAACTGAAATTCAGGCATTGCCGTTTTTGAATACTGCATATTGAATGATTTCATGTCCCGCTTCCAGCTTGTAACGCTCTCAAATATCTTTTTAAAAATTCAATTTCCAATATCAATCCATTGGAGTTTCTTTCAGCATATTTTTCTTTTTAAAATTACTTTCTGATCAATCTGGCTGGGGCTTAACTTAAGCACACTCAATTGAATTCAAGACAATATTAATCTCCTTTGTACGGATTATTAAGCCTCAGTTTTTCTAGAAGCGATCGGTAAAGAAAATGGCTTCTTTCTTTATTTGTTATAATCCAATATATTGTCATTAAATCGGAGCATTTCATATTATAGTAACGGTTGCTGAAAATATCACTCTTAAAGTTACATTTTGAAGTTATAGACTTGCAATTTCTTCAAACAGGTATAAGCACTTAGAGGGTGTCAGCGATGCCGAAAACTTCTGGATCGTCAACGAGAATATGTACATCAATCCTTTGACTGGCGTGCTGCGGGATGTGAAACGTTTTGTACACCGTTCGGGGGAAATGGTTATCATAGATTTTAGCTCCTTTCCGATTGGGTTTTACAAACATCCCGAGCTCTACAGCGCACTCTTTCAGCTTATTCGCCAAGAACTTGGGGATGTGGCCTTTCGAAGCTATAAGCCCGATGAGCATTGCTATCAGCGCAGCTTTGAGGAGCTTAAGGAACAGAACAGACAAATCCTGTTGCTCTTTCCGACAGAGGAGCTGCCACATCCGGATAACGGTGAAAAATTACACTAATATATTTATTCCTATCATCATCTTTCTTTTGCAGAATCCGAGCTGCTCTGTTCGCCTTGGCAACGTTTCAGCACTAGTTATATGAACAATTCGGAAGTTCTGGACTATATGCGTTTCATGTTCAGCATGAAGCCAGATTCTCCGGTGCAGGACGAAGGCTGGATATTTTGGGCAGTGAAGAGCATGGAACAGGCCCTCAACACACATAAATTGCAGACAACCAAGGAGCGTGCAGCACTCATCAATCCCAACGTGAGCAGATGGCTGAAGGGTCCATGGGGTCTCAATGCCAATATAGTGGCCATGGATTACTTCAGTAATACAAATATTGTGGATACAGCCATACATGTGAATACCCTGAAGGCATATCTATTGTCCCATGAAAACTTTGTTAATTTGGAAATATTACGTTAAGCTAGCAGTTGCAATGTATTTTCTACAACTATTTCGATTTGTGTTTGAAACAAAATAAAATCAATTGTGAATTTTAAATTAAAGTGGCTTGAAGAGCTGCCACCTCGATCGAATTAGGTGCTGCCGCCGTATGGCAAGCCTTCGCTCTCAAGCAGGCTGGCAGAACTCTGCAAGCAGTGATTTTTAAAGCAGTTTACCGCTTAAATCGGTTAAAACCTTAAACTGAACCGCAAAGAACCTCAGCGCAGTGACAATGACCAGTAAATAAAAATAATTAGCAACTTTACGGTTTTGTCAAGAATGCTGTGCTGACGAATCTTATTCAAATTTGTTCACAGTCAGGTGTGCGAAACGGCCTCAGAAAGAGCAAAGAATTTGCATTTGTGTTCACCAAATACTGTAATTAAATGTAAGGTCGTGGCAGACATTTCGATATTTTAAACTAGAACACTGATTTGCATGAAGCTCGTCAATTTGCGATGACAAATTCTGCTCTGCTCCCTTTAAATTGATTTTCGAGGCATAATATGGCGATAACCTTACTCTCGGCTCTAAAATGCAGTCATGATTCAGACTTTTACTTCATTCATGATACTCCTATTGCCAATAGCGTATATGTATATAAACGTAGGTAATTTATATTTGTCATTATGCATACATATAGTATGTGCGAGTACATAGCTGACTCTGCCTGCCTGTTTATTCATTTGCTTTAGTTGTGTTTACCGAAGCCGGTTTCACAAAAGTGATAAACGATCCAAATGCAGGCGAGTGCAACCGAAATAGCTTCGTTACCATATCGGTGATGTAATACCTTGGCTTGACCAAAACCGGAGCCACTAAGTGGAATAGAATGCGCGTGCTTGTTGAAGGGAAATCAAACCATGAGCAATCCAGCTTTTCAACTAACACTATCACAATGTATGGCATCTAATTTTTTTTAATTTTCATCTAAAACTTGTACTTCTACAGTTTCTGAAAAGATTTCACGTGACAAGATATATATATACAGTGTAACCTCTATACAGTGAAAACTCTTTTATCCGGACACTCTCTTCGGCGGACATTCTAAACATTCGATCGGTGTATAAAGTATTTAAAAGGGGATACCTTTTCACTGTAATCCGAACAATTAGTGTTAAGTCAATGTCCGAAAGTGTGACAAGTTCGACATTGCCGGAACATATCCAGATCGAGACTTTTTCATTTTTGTTTTTTTGAATTTAAGAGACAGATTTAGAAATAACATTAATTAGAACAAACAGAACCTATTTTAATCAATTGATTTATTAGGTTCCTAAAATATTAGACATTATAAACTTCCTGAAACGATCAGTAAGTTTACAAATGATTTCCTTTTTACTCCTCAAGTACAGAGTATAAATATCTGCTCGCCTCCAAGTTTTCTAAACATTAAAGTTTTGGAGACTCAGCGGATGTACGGAAATGCTTTAATTGCTTCTTTTTTTTTGTTCACAGCTAAAGAATGTTATGTGCTCTGTGAGTAACACTGACGAATCAGACGAGCATGACATAATCAGAGGGAATAGTATTAGTCTTTTTGTTACATTCTAAAAATAGGGGAACCATAGCAGTTACTTCAAACCCAACACTTTTTATTTTATTTAATTAATCAACAAATTATGTATTTTATATTACATTACAATAAAGGTATAGAATAATATTATTCTATATTAAAATCTAATATGAATTCTACTTATAATAAAATAGGGTTTTCGGATTTCTAAACCTGCTTCTGAAATGTAATATTTTGAATTATTGCCAGTCCGACCCCTACAAAGAGTTTATTTGTCTTCTTCTGCTCAAATGAAACTTTGGTCATCAGAAATATTCAGTCCTGTGTCGAGAGTTTGGAGATAAAAAATAACTGGCACAAGAATTGGAGCGTAGAGAATTGGAAGAAGGTGATTTTGTCAGATGAGTCCAAAATAAACCGATTTCAATTCGATGGAAAGCAACTTTTAATACTGGGATCCATCGTCCACATGAGAAGATTAATTAAGGAAAAGAAGTAATATCTTCATATTTCTATCCGTCTAGGTGGGCAAATATACTTATCCAGTATATTGTATCAAAAGATTTGAATGAGCTTTGTTTTCAAAATTTCACAAGAACTTTTGAAAAACTAGGTGAATTAGGTACGCCCTAGCTTATTTAAAGCTAAAATCTTTTGATTAAATATTAAATCCATGTACATGTATATCTAGATGCATTTACAATAATTAAATTTAATATATTGAAATATTTAAAAATACAAAATGTATTTCCATTCCTTTCCTTTATTAGTTGCTGAAAAAGTTACATTAGTTTGAATTATAATTTTTTTCCCCCTTTAAATATAATGAAGGAATATAATATTCAGATCGATTGATGCATTTTTAAGGGTTTTACAGGTGTTTTAAGTTAAAACTAATCAACAGCTATGAGAAGTTTTTAAGCATTAACAATAGCAGCTTAGAAGATTTGAGATTTAAAGACACTTGGACACAATATCTCTATCGTTTTTAACTTCCAGCCCTACTCTAAGATGCCAGTTATTTTTTATAATCTATGTTGCTGATTAATACTTATAAATGCGGTTTGGCAATCAAGTTGTTCTGTAATAAAAATCTATTTGCAATTTAAGCTGATGAGCAAGACGTTGCGACACCAGTCTCGGAGTTATCTATCGCTTTTACATATACCCGTATATAGTCTATAAACAATTGCAGTTGAATGCCCTTTGTCTGAGGCTTTAGTCACCGCATCATGCAGACACTCCCTTTATCGGTCATTGGCTAGGCATGCTTATAATACCAATTACAGGTTGCAATCGGAGTCGATGGTCTCCCACCTTGCCTTTGACAATAAAATAATGCAGCGCAAAAAAAAAAAGAGGAGAATATAAGATGAGAGAATGATAAGACTAGATAAGAGAATTACTTTTGAAAGTTAAGCTAAAACTGAATGTTTCTACTTTATGATAGGTCCAAAAGCATCCAAAAAACGTATATACTTTTTCTTGGGTAACAATTTTTTAATTGTTTACAGCAAAGTGTAGAAGCATATTGTTTTTTGGTGTATAGGAAGTGTACGCCAAAATTTTAGGTACAAATATAATAAGCAATCTATATTGCGATCTGTACGTCTGCCAACAGTTTTTTTTTTTTTTTTTTTTTTTTTTTGAGAAGACGCAGATAATAATATCGGTTTAACCTAGAAAGCGGTTTTGCGCATTAACAACAGTTTTGTTAATAAAGATATTATGGCCTCATAATTTTAAAATTAATTAGGAAAAGTAATTAGCCACACTACTTCAATTAAATATAAACTTTGTTGCAACAATCATTCTTTTGACAGCTATATGGCAAGTGTACCGATTTAAAGGAAACGGATTTTGTTGGAGCATTAAATCAAAGACTTGAAGGCAACTAGACTGATTTCTGCACCGATTGTTCCTATGACAGCTACATAAAATAATATGGCTATTTATGATTTGTAATGAACTTGGTCTGCACATGAACAGGACAAGTCTTCATAACTAGTTTGGTGTCCTTAGTTATTGCAGTTTTAAAGAAATCGACGTTCATACAGACGGACAAATGGGCAGACATGTATGGATGTATTCACACATATTATAGTGTCTACCACGCCTCTTTCTGGCTTTGTTAATTAGACTTCCAAGTATCCCTTTCAGAATAGAAAAGAGTGTTGGCGAATAATTAGTGGCTATAGCTGCTCGCTGATTTATAAAAGCCAGATGTGGGCGGACGCAGCGGCGCCTTTGTAGACGACAAGTTTGCGCTTTTAATTACCTCGCATGCCCAAAAAGGTGGGGAAATAATAAACAAGTCTTGCTTTCCAATTATATTTTAGTGTATTTATTAAATGTAATATATAGTATATGTATGTGTAGGTATGTTATGTTATTATTTATCATACTATAAATATACAGAAGACAAATTAAAAATACATAATACGAGTCGTTAGTTCTAGTTTGCTTCATTTACAGAGGCCTTCACAGATCGGCCTGTTTTACATCATAGTATTACAGTATTTAATTATACGGGTGTGTGTGTGTGTGTGTATTTAGGAGAGTGCATATATATATATATCTCCCTTTAGGTGTGTGTGTGTGTGTGTGTGTGTGAGTTGGTAACCGACCAGACAATTGGCCAATTTTCCAACTAATAATTGTAACCTAGTACTAATGACAATTGCTTCTGGTGTTCAAGTGCAGATACCCTCTAAACTGATCCGCTAGATCAGCTAAGCTGGTATCTGCACTTGAACACAGAGAGTTGTGGTCACTATTAATATTTTAAAATTATTAGTTGAAAAATTGGCCGCGCTTATTCTCATGTTTAAGAAAAATATACACGCATGACATCGGTGAAGGGTTTCCTGCACAATGGACACTTTGTCACGGAGGATGCGCATTTCGCGCAGGCAACCACATGGCCGCAGGGCAAGAAAGCCGTATTGTATTCGCCGGCATAGCAAATCTTGCAGAGCTTCTCCTCGGGTATGGTGGGGGAGGTGTTGTTGGTGTTGTTGGCACCGCTGGTGCTGGCAGCTAAGACATCCTTTGATGCCAGTATCTTGTCGAAGATGCGTGTGGCAGCTGTTTGAGGTACCACGTCGCCCTCGTTGCTGGTGGCTGTGGCGGTGGTAGCGCTGCCGCCTGCCTCTTCTCCATTGCATTGCGACCCCATCGACACGGTCTCGGTTTCTGTAGTAGTTGTTGTTGTTGTTGTGGATGTTTCCATTTGGGTTGGCTTGTCTTGGGCAGCCTGCTGTTCGTCGTCTGGCTTGGCGCCCTGCGCTTGTGCCGTATCGATAAAGAGTTGGCCCTTCATCAGCTTTAGAAAGCGGCACTGGCTTAGCCATAGGGCGTGCTGCTCCCAGGGGTCGTCGTTGTCGTCCCAATCCTTGAGTCCGCCACCGCAGCTGAAACATCGTACACGATCCCCTAGACCGGTGTAGAAGAAACCCGCCTCGGCTAGCTGCTGCGGCTTCTGCTTCATGTTGCGCGGCCATTCGGCAAAAGAACGCAGGCGTGCCGCCTCGATGGCATATTCGGGATATTCGGGAAAATAATTTCCACGGGGCAGTGGCAGTGGCGGCATTAGCACCGGTCCGCCACTGGCCATCTGGCTGGGCGACATCGAGGTGCCTGTGGTGACCACTTGAAGTGAGCCACCACCGAAACCTCCATTTGGGATCGTATTCACACCAGTCGACTGAATGATGTGGGAGCGGGGGAGCCGTCCCTCTGAATAGGCATGCTCTCGCACTTCGATAGCATCGTTTGCTCCACAGATATCGTAGCTGATTGGTGGCAGGACTCGGTCTAGGGCCTCGCTGTTTATGGGCACGTTGTTGGTGGTGCGACGCCGCAACAGTGGACAATTGGGTGACCATCTTAGATGCTCAGGTACGGGTTGATCGTCACGCTCCCAACGTCCGACTTCCACCTCGCAGAAATAGCACTTGACCTTATCGCCTTCATTCGTATAGAACATGCCCGTCATAGCCAGCATCTCCTTGCTCAGCCAATCGTGTGGCCATGCATCGTACGTTCTTAAGCGCTCTTCCTCCCGATGATACTTATCATTCATTCTGTTTACAAGTGCTTTGAATAGTTGTGTCGATGTGGCATTTGTTATATTGTCCACTTGATCGCACGTTGTAGTGCTTCTTGTAACTAATCCTGTTAATGCAGAAAAACGTAAGGGTATGGTAGCTACATCTGCCATTTTGATGCAACGTTTCCTTTTGTATAGTCAAGTTCTGCTGTTTCTGTTGCTGTTGCTATTGTTCTGGGCCTTAATTTTAACTGCAATGACAAAAAGAAAATAAAACACTCATTAATATATAAATCAATACAAGAACAATTCAAGGTAACAATATCAGCGTCTAGATAAGCATATAATTAAAAGTTGATAAAAACAAACATTTTCATCACCTATTATAAAAAAAAATAAAATTATAAAAACAAATCAATTTAATTTATTATTAACACCTTTTGTAATCTCTAGAACATTTCTTATCAATTCGAAAACAATGTCTACTTTGTCAAGCTTAATTTTTCACTTTCGAATCCGTTAGTATCTGGTATCTATAATGCAGCAGCCGCAGTCATCGATTTGTGCGAAAAAACTGAAACGCAGTTCAAGAAACTCCAGATGCGTCTCGAATGCATCAACGAACTTTTGAAGCGCCCTTAAATGCGAACACAACACTCTCGTTGTCTCGCTCGCACAAACACGTAGTAGTAGTAGCAGTAAATAGGGGTGGTTCGAACAATCCTAGACTGGAGAGCAAACGTCGTAGCGTAGACATCGTACGCGAAATAATATCATATTGGCGTTACAACCGTCAGGGTTTGTTCTGCGCAGAATCGCGACTGCGACGACAGCTGCTGAAACATACTGTTGTTGCAATAACAGCATTGCATAGGAGGTAATGAGCACGACCGTCATAGATGATAGATAAAGGTCGGTATGAGTGGGTGGGTAGGCGTAGGCGCCAACTAGACGGCAACGATAAATAGAATTGTTGACTCACATTCAGAATTACTAGAATTAGCATGACAACACATTGCGAAAATAATAATAATAAAAACAAAAACAATTTAGATAAGAAAACAGAACCACTTTTAATTTCCGTAAAAATTCTGAAGAACTTAAAGAGTTACAAGTGCCATAAATAATTCTGATAATATTAAAGATTGAGAATCACTGTTTGAAAGTTATCTACTTGCATTAATTATTAAATAGACCTAAATATATAGAAAATATATAATCTAGTGCATACAAAAATTACGCCCCTTGTTTTCTGAAAGCATTGAAAGCATGAAAGCATTTGAAAATTCCGCTGCCAGGCTCTAGCTCGAAAAACAATTTCTATAAAAGCTATCGTTGCATTTTATTTATAAATATTTAAAGTTACAAACTTGCTTTCGAACCGAAAAGACTTTAATAATTCGCTTGAAAAAGCATAAATATCCAGCACCAGATTTGTTTATCTGAAGACCCGCCCAGCAGTGTAAACATAAATAATTAAAGCTAATACACTGGCACTTTAAGTGCAAGCTCAGTGATGGTAAGACAGCAACAGCAAGTTATCGATAGGCGGCTTAGTATAAAAATAAAAAAAATGCAACGACAGACACAAGAAACCGCAACAACGACAACGGCCTTTGTGGTGGTCTTTAAGGCAAAGAGATTGTTCGTTATATTTTTTTTGTTCCCCATATAATTTTTTTTCTTTTTTTTACTTAGGCTTGGGGCAAACAACAAACATGCACGAGCGAACGAATGAGTGAACGAACGAACTTTGTGGCTGATACAAAGTCCAAACCAAGCAACCAAACTTGCCAAACAAACAATTGCAACTTGGGGGGCAGGGGGGGTATGGGAGGGCTGAGGCAATGCAGCAGGCGCTGCAACTTCGTAGCTAGCCGACTGTGAGAAAGTTTTAATGGAATGCAGTCAAACGACTTGACGGCGACGGCGCAGTCAGCAACGGCTCCACGGCGCACACAAGAGCATAAATAAGCGCAGCATAGGTGCCTCAGTGTGTGTGTATATGTGTATGCAAGCGAGATAGCTGCATGTGCAATATGCAGCAAAAACCATCAATGGGAAAAACAACTAACATAACGAGTCGAGTTCAAACCGAAACACACACACACACACATGGTCGTCGCTCGCACACTCTTGCACTGCTGAGTGCAAAGAAAAAGTGCAACAAAAAATCCCGTAGGAAAAACAAAAACAAGCAAATGAAAATTTTAGGTACGTTTTGTAAATTTCAATTAACTTACTAAAAATACAGTTAAAACTCTCCTAATGGACACCTCTTTAATCCGGACACGTTTTCCTAGAAAATTCGAACTTAATACATAAAGTTTCCGGCCAAGAGACATTTCACTATAATCTTTACTTTTTCGAACTTAGGTCTGGATTCTAATGGATTCCTGAAATATGCCTTCAGCTGGACACTTAGAGACTTTAAGGGGTCTGCCACGCCTGCCTCTGTATGTTACATACATTTGTACCAAACCAGTATACCCTTTAACCCCTTCGGGTACAAGTATACAAGTAGGGTATAGCAATTGTAAATTACCGAAGCTGCTGCGACTGCCTCTGGAAGAGAGCTTGCCCGCCAGCTAGCTGGACTGGCTATGGTAAGGTAATGGGGTAGTCTGGTGTCGTTTGCCATGAAGGGAGAGGGGAGTGGGTCTAGTGGAGGTAGCGAGTGAATGCGCATTGTTTTGAAGTGGAGCAGCAGCCCCGTGCAGTTATTGCTGTTTTTGTTGTCCAGCAACGCAGACAAAGAGATGATAGCCCAAGATGCTGCAGAGTTTGGTGCTGTACTGCTGTTTATTGTTGCTGTTGCTGTTATTGTTGCTGTTGCTTTTTTTTCGAGTACAAAGTGCAAAAACCGACGCCGACGCCAACGTTTACAATAACAGCTGGATGTGCAGTTCTGCTGTTATTCTGTTATTGTTTTTCTTGTTGATGTGGAATGCATGGCATTAAAAATTGTAAATGTAAACGCCTTGGCATTTCGCCTTTAAGAATATGCATACATATGTACATGCATATATACACACGTATTGAAAAAGCAGGAAATCAGCAAAAGTTCAAAACAGTATTATCGCTTCAATTTGCACAAATTATTGTCAGTATGTACAAACACACATACACACACACAAGCTTACACTTACCGTAAATTTTTTAACACAAACGTTTTAAAGAGCGAAGGTTTTTAGTAAATGTTTAACTTTAACAGAATATGGTTTTGGCTCGACACGCTCTCCCTCTCTTGTCGCCGTCTGCCCGCAAACAGCAACAAATGCAGACTGACGGAGTCGCTCTCGACGCTGACAGCAACGACCTAGGGAGGCCTCCTTGGGCGCATGAATGACATGAGAGTACACACACACACACACACACATACACACAACAAGCAAATATTCATAGAGAATGCAGCAAGAAAAAGCAGCATAGAAAAATACCAAAGTGGAAACACAAACACAAGAAAATCAAAATCCAAAGGCCAGGCAAGGCAAGACAAGACAAGGCAATAGCAACAGCAACAAACAGAACATACTCGCACCAAAGCGGACCGACCGACCAAGCGACGAACAAACCAAAGAGACGAACAGACAACTCCGAGTAGGCCGCATTGGAATGCAGTTGGGCAACTTTTCTACAAACTCCGCTTCGTGGTTGCCCTGCCGCACGCAAAATCAAACACACATACACCATGTACTATGTGTGTATGTGTGTGTATGTGTGTGTGTGTTTGTGTGTGTGTGCATGCCTCAAGAAGTTGCTGAGTAAATTCAAGTTTTCTGATTGGAACCTAAAGCCAAACCAAAGCAAGCAGCGAACCTAAATTGTTGTAAGCTGCGCCTGCTTCGGAGATTGGAGTTTCGTACTTGAAGTGGAACCACGTTTGTTGTTGTAAGTGAAGGTAACCGCAGCAGCTAAAACAACAGCACCAACAACCAAAAGAACGTCGTCGTGGTCGCCGTGTGGCAAAGGTTTTCATGCATACTCGTACATATGTACATACGTATGTATGTATACGAGTATATCTATACCTGGGAGCTGCCGACTGTGGGAAACTATTATAAACACTTTACCATTCTTTTTTGTTGTTGTCTTCTGAACTGAGATTGGAATGCGGTGATACCAGATATGTTGACGACGTTGTTGTTCTTGTCTCTTCGCGCTGCACGAGCACATTCGTGGTTTGCAGAAAGTGACGAAGGAAGGGTCAAATGCATCCACAGATCAAGTTTGTGGATTATTTTAGTGTAACAAATCGAAATCAGCTTAAAACAAAAATCCCTTGCGGATCACAAAAAACTTTGGGACCGTAAAACTAGGTGGTGCAGCAAAGCAGAGCTTTTTCCATTTTGAAAAGAGACCCGGACAAGTAACGGTGAATTAATTGATCTAGAAAGGTTCAGCACCATAAACCACCTTTCTAAAAGCTTGTTGATGCAGCACCGTTCTTGTGGTAGCTCGTGGGAGATTAGATAACAAAATATTTCTATAGTACTTAGCGGTTTCGTACCAAAGTTGTTAACAGACCCGAACCGTTTAGTTCTTTCCCTTGGTATTTAGCAATCGAAACCCGACATAAATGTCTTAAAACTTAAGTTGCTTTTGTGCTGAAGAACCCTGGATAACAGTGTATGTTGAATAAATTATGGAAACATACTACTATGTGTATCAATAATACAATCTTAATGTCGAGTAGAAAAGGAACTTAAAAATATTTAAGCTTGCTTCCCGCATTATTTTAACCTCGATCCGGCGGTACTGATACCATTATGGTTCCGCACCGTAAGCGATCACTAAAAAGATTGAAGTTCTTAGCCATAATTTACTTTGGTATGCTGCAAGCTGTGTCTCTTAAGACTTAAGAATCAACATGAAGCCGGGTTTAGGTCCCCTGCAAAAGTACACCAACAACAACAACACACACACACAAAAACAAGGAACATTCGTGCATCTGCATCTGTATGTATACCTATATGTGTGTTTGTGTTGTGTCCTTCCAAGAAATGCAGCAGCCGAGAACAAGCAACGACCGCCGACGTTGCCGACAATAAAAAAAAAGAGAGCCCAAGCCCAAGTCGCTGAAGCGTTGATGCTGGCAGCAGCGTCGCGTACTTAAAAATAAAAAGAAAAAAGTTCCAACAAAGGGCAATATCGTAATCATAATAAATGCGTTAAAGCCGGGACCGACGCCAACGCCAACGCCGACGCCGAGTGTTGGTGACGGCTGAAAAATGCATTAACGCAGAACTGCAGAGCAGAGTTGTGTGATCCGGCTATGGTGAAGCGCATGAAGCGCTACAGGGCTCTATAGTTCAGTTCAAAGTTATTGAACATTGATCGATTGTCCAACCTAACGGGCGGCTCAGTTCAAAGACCCAAGACGACGCCGGCAGCGATTTTACTCGAAGAAAATTGTTCTCCCAAACCGAAAGTCAAGTCGCTCTGTGTGGCTGGGCCCATTTGTTAGTTATCGCAGCATCTCTGGCCTGGCCTGCCTCTGTGAGATCTGGTATGTGGGTACGCTCTCATGAAATTCCAAACTCACACACACACACACACTCATGCATTAAATGCGCCTCGTTAGTGAGAATAATAGTGGAAAGGTCGTTTTTCACGCGGGCGAGGCTCAAAGGTCGTCGCCGCCGCCATCGTGCACTCGAGATGATTCAGCCGAGAATATTCCGGGAATTCCAATGTAATTTTCCTTCAGTTTGCTGCACTTTCCTTTCAAGGGCCGCAGCAGCCGTGGTCCATTCTTTAGCCCATTCATGCTGATTGCCGTCGCGTCTCTTGGCGATAACAAAGCAAAGCAAAGCAACAATAAAATTATCTCCATTGTCTGGTCTGTCTGCCTCTCCCGTTCGTATTCTGTTCTGTTCTGTTTCGAAGAAAACTACTCCTCCCATTTCCGACGTGAGAACTGTTAAGCGCGTTATCGTTATCTCTAGCGCTTTATAAATACAACATTCCTATGCGTGGTGAGAAGTGAGTTGGAAATTCTTCTTTATGTACCAGTTTATTTTTCTTCCTTTCAATATCTGTTTGTTGTTATTCGAATGGCTGTTATAGGGAGAATTGTAGGCGTTGTATGGTACGGGACCACCAGCATCGGTTTTTGTGTGGGTGCTTTTTAGTTTTTTATGTGGCAGAAAAGAAAATAAAAAGAGTGGCCAGAGACTTGAAAAGCTTTTCGCTCAACGCTTCAACTTCATTGACTTTCTCTCCAGTATTGTTGCTGCTGCTTTTTGTTGTTGTCTCGATGAAATGAGCGCAAAAGTTCAAAGCAATGAAGTACATTAAACTCCAAACGTTCAAAGCATAGTGAAAATTGGCAACAATACGTGAAGAGCTGAAACTTGGTTAGTTACTTTGGTCGGCCATGGGCTTTTGTTATGGTTGTGGCTACCGTTGTTGTTGTTGTTTCTTGCAGACTGAAACGACTAAAACGCGCACGCATGCATGAATGCACCACTTCCGTTCACAACGGAAATGAGGGACAAAGAAATATCATACTGAAACATCGGTGGTGGGGATTATGTTGAACATACATACATACACATGTGTGTGTATTTGGTGCGTAAGACGAATCGTACATACATACATACATACATACATACATATGTATGTACACATACATTTATGTATGAACATAGAGTGCCTGCAAAGTTGACGCGTCATCGTTCTTTCGAGGAATGAGAAAATAAACAATTTAATTAGAACGAGCAGCAAGGCAGGCAGAAGCTTGAGTTATAGCGGTTGACCTTCCAGATCCCATTATAATACAATCGACATATTTTGCATGCTATAGTCATCGCACAAAAATATACAAATGAACAATTCCACATATGTATGTACATACATACATATGCAAACATACACATGTACGTACTTAAATTCGCTTTAAAACAAAAACCAAAAAGTAAACAATAGCCAAAATTGCGTATTCAAAAATTTCAGTATACTCATACATATGTACATACATACATACGTATGTATGTATTTCGTATTAATGTGTCGACGCGGCGCCTATATACGTACGTAAGTATACATACAAATATGTACATACATATATACATATGCATACACATACACAGATCTTGTTTTTGTACGCCAAGCTATAAAAACTTGCACAAATTTGGTGCCATACCAAGCTTGTGCTACAATAATCATTCACAATGAGTGTGCGCTCAATAAGAGTTACCATCTGGCCGAAATGTTTTATTTAAATTACAAAAGAAACGAATTTTTAGCCAATTTTAGCATATGAAATTGTTGAGTACATTACAAACAAAATTGGGTCTTTTAAAGCCGATGCACAAATATAGTTTTTTGGAAAATATTTATCAATTATTATTTTTTTGAAGCATTCAACAACTCTGGAACGGCCATTTTGAGCACAAGAGAGCGCACAGAAAAGCAAAAAAAACGAATATGTGTCTGCGGTTTTACGTATGAGATTCGGTTTGGAACCAACACCAGTACTGTGGTAACGAACAAAATGTTCAAATTGATATGGAAAAAAACTTTTCTGATGTCACGTTTTGCGTGAACAAAAGTTGACTTTTCCAAATGTATAAAACACAATATGGTTTAGCTTACCTTGACAATTTTTCTCTTTATTGAAAAACTCAAGTTATCCACTATAAATGCAGGAGTATATTATAATTTACGTAAGTCCAATTGGTATTACTCGACAGAAATATAATATGCTGTCTGTCGTTGATACACCGTTACTGGAAAGGCGTAGCTTGCTTGCTATGTAATATTTTTACAAAACAACACATATACATATATACGTAAGTATGTATGTAGAGACGGGTACACAACACAGCAAGTAAAAACGCGTATATTTTCAGCTCGTAATCAAATCGAGAGCAAAACACTTTTAATCTGTATTTATTATTGTACTTTATGCTTTTACTCAGACTCAAAAAATGTAAAGCAACATTCAATTTAGCGCGCTACTCATAGTTTCTCTCAAGAGTCGTGAAACCGAACTGAACGAACTTAACAGCGAGGTAGCCATCAAATACTTCGAGTTGCTTGCTGCAGGGTTGCTAACAGTGTTGGCAACTTTTTAGAAGGAAAAAAAGCTGTTTTTGTCGGGAAGGAGAGTGAAATAAAGCTATAAAATTTTGCAAAAAAGCGTAATAAAAAGCTATATTTATTTTTACAAGAAATACTTTAAAATACATTTTTGTTGAACATTTTAAATGATATTTACGCATTTCGTCATGTGTTCTTCAAAAGCGGTCAATCTGCGCTATTGCTGTATGCTGAGCAAGAAAAAGGCACAGAGCTGCTTCTTTCTTCGGTAGCTTTACAAAACTAATTTTGTTTGTCCGATAGAAAGTCTGCATTGCATTCTTTCGGCATTCCCACCTTTACAAATTAAGCGCATTTAAAAGATAAAGATGGTTTAAACTAGTGATGTCATATGTAGTATAACCACAGCAGTCTCTAGGGTCTACTTTCACAAGCCAGCGTCACTACTGTCATAAACGAGCAGCATTATATACATAATTAGTAATTGTAACTCACTTTTTGCATAAAAATAACTCAATAAACTACCATCATTAACCACACATAGGCAAATATTGATAAAAAAAAATAACGATAAAGCTGCCTCGTTTCCATTTTTTTACATAAATGTTGGCAAAATTACAAAAAGCGCAAAACAGCTAAATGTATTTTAAAAAAGCCAGAATTCCCGCAATTTCGAATGTTTTCCCGCAATCTCATTGCAAAAACAACCAGATTTGACAGGAAAAAAGCCAAATTGGCAACACTGGTTGCTAAGCATCGCGCAGCTCTCTATTTGTTGCCGTACGTCAGCCAGTTATCGCGCTGGGTACAAAACCATTTTATTTTATTTGGCAGGCTGGCAATTCCGCACATCAGGTAATACAAATCTTGAGTGCATTGTCAATATGCCATTTCGCAAAACAACTGAATTAAGGTTAATAAACGCAACTACAACATTTGGTTCGCAATTTGCATTATTATGTCAACATAGAAGAGGGAAAAAAATCGAAACGACGAGATGGGTGGCATTTTTTGTTACCTTAAGACACAGACTGCGCTCTCCTAGTCACAATGGATGCACAGCCGTACAACCTTAATACTACGACTAGTATTAGTACGCAAGATGGCGTACAACTAAAAGGACGACAGTACGGCTATCCTTTTTCAACCAGCAACAATCCCTCAAAGCAAACAGTATTAGCCGACAGACAGGATCATTGATTTTTTAGCCAGAGCATGCGCAGGCGAAATTCTTCCTCGGGATATTTTGCATGTGCATCCTCCCAGCAGGCTGCGTGTCAATGCACCGTCGACAACAACAACAACAACTGGACTCCACCAAAAACAACAACACAACACACCACTATGAACGCGTGCCTTCCAGACGCAGACGCGCTGTTGCACACGTCGTCGAAAAAATGCGTTTGTAGGAGGGGAGTGCACGAGCCAGCCGCCGATGGCAGCTGCTTTTCTACATAAATATAAAATGTGCATACATACATATGTATATGTATGTATGTAAGTACATGTATGTAAGTATATGCATTATGTACCTGCCGTATTTTACCTGGCTGGTGGTTAATTCAGGAATGCGTTGAAGCATATGCTTTGTACTTGTATGTACACACATATAAAGTTTTTGGTATTCTAGAAAGTTGGTACTGCCTACATGTACCGAAAAGATCCATTCAATAGTTTCGGTGCCATTCATACTTCAAGTGAAGAAGTGCTGTAGAAATTGTGTTCCCATACAACTTGCCCTGTGGAGAAAAATTGTCTGAGGGACACATTTCAAAAGGTACCGAACCACTGATAATTAGAGTAAAAAGAGGTGTGTCTGAAAATGTACACCTCTATGATTTTCCTTTTGACTTTTACATAGATAAAATTGTGTTTTGACTTTCAAAAAGTTTGGTAACATTCATAGTTTGAATAGAGAAGTGTAGAAGTGTTCGCAGGAAAAAATTTTGCTTTCGAAAGGTACCGTACCCATTCATACTTATACACCTAATTCTCTTTTTACACGATAGATTGGTTCCTAAAACGTCGAGTATGTGTAAAAAACACATTGATTTTTAATTTTCACTTCTTCGACTTTTGCTTGGTTCTGTAAAAAGATTATTACTTTTAGTTTTGAGAGGTACGTTACTATTCGCATTTTAAGAGAAGAAGTGTTGTAGGGACAGTATCAATAATATGCATAAGAGATTTCGGGTTGTACCAATTTGTATATATAATTTTTTAAGCATATGACATTTTATTAGCATATCCTAATATATAAACCATTTCCTCGATACATACATATGTAGTATGTAGGTACATTATGAAGGTTCCAATACCTAAAGGACTCTTATACTCCATGACTCAACTGCTTAGGGATTTCATAAATTCTTACTCGCCTAGGCTTAAATTGTTACCGATAAGTCAAAATGCTATCAATATTATAGTATTATATACTATATTATTTCACTTGAAGTTTTCATTTCAATTAGGAATTTCCCATCGCTATTGACGACATTCCAGCGCGTGCATAGTATATATGTATGCAATTATTGCGATAACATGCCAATCAATACAAAAGATTGGGGCTTAATCATACACATGCCATAAACGTACTTTTTATATACTACAAGTATACATCCAATATGTGTATAAGTTTGTGTATAGGATGGATAGTTCATGAACATATACTGAAAGTGCATACATACATATATCCAAGCAAACATACATATCTACATACATAACTCCATATACAAGTATTACTAAAAATAGGTGTTGCTAAATTTATATCGTCGCGACTTCTTTGAAAAATGTGCCTATATGCTGCGTCTAGACGCCTTTGACAAGTTCTGCCACAAAATGAGGCGAACCGTTTATTTTTACCCACACAAACCTCCCCTATAATTGCATTTTATAATTTTCGATGAGTGGCCAAACAAAGAAGACTTTTTTAAATAAATTTCAAATAAGACGAGGGTAGCTAAACAATTTGTTGAGGGAAAATAATGAAAGCACCCGGTTTCGATTATAAATTTTCTTTTATTTTATTTATTTTATATTTTTAAATTTAAAGATCATTGTTATTCCTACAATTTATGAACCTTTTTTCAGGAAAAATTGACTCTAGTTGCCTTTTTACAAGCATTTTTAAATGCAATATTTTTGTTAATTCCAATTCTGTTTTTTAAATAAACTATAGTCTGTTTTGACAAATAGCAACATATTTATTTAATGGGAAGGAATTGAACTAAGAATGGTAGTCTTTAACGAATACGATCAGCTTTAAGTACGAATTTTTCTCTCACTGACAACCCCAGAAGATCGTCATTTTTATATACAGCGTTAAATTTTCTAGAATTTGCTGCTCAATAATAATTTGTTTATAACCCGTCTGAAAAGGGAACAACAGCTGGCTGATCTGTTCGTATGAATATCCCCCTGTCGTTCTATCGAATTGTTAAAAGTTGTAAACAGTCAACAGCTGTTTATGGTTAAAATTGCAGGCCGATTCTCAACTTGGTAATTACAAATAATAAAAACTGGCTTTTTACTAAATTTTAACTGATATTTTCATTTTCCAATGTCATTAGCTTTTTAAACAATAACTATTAAATTGAATAATGGATTCTAATTATTCACGTTATGACTAAGTACTATTTTTAAATTCTTAAACACATGATATTTGATCTCCTTGTCTACACTTTTTCTCAAAATTATTGATCTCCTCGCGCATGTACATATGTATGTATGTATGTATGTGTGAACGAATAGTGCTAAACGGCCTTGCAAGGCCTTTTAAAGTTGTTGCACTCTTGGCTTGGCAGTTAAGTCGCAGTTACAGACACACCAACCAACACAAGCAAGCACACATACATACATGCATACAAACATACATACATACATATGTACATACATACAAAAATGCAAGGCGCTGATCGCGCGCTCAGGTGTATTTAGTAATTTTGTAAACTTTTTTGTTTTAATTGACAGTCAAACGTTGAAAACCAGTTTTTGTTCTGAGCAGTGAATGGCATTTTGCGAAAGGTGCCACAGATAGTGCCAGAGTGACTGCAATTTGGCACGACTTTTGATTAGAAATAAAGAAACCTACAAACATACATACATATGTACATATATTATTATAACATATGCTGCCGCCTTTCCCTTTTCGATCGAACAAAGGCAAGTACCTGCCTTTAGTAATCGAGACATAAATTAAAGACGTGTGCCGGCAGCTGCACGCCGCCTGTCTACAAAGGATCCAAAAACCGTCAGCAGCAGCTGCAACTGTCCTTCCTCATCCTTATTGTGTCTGTGCATCTGTGTGTGTGTGTGAGTTTTTCTTTTTCAAAGAAAGGCACAAGACACATGTTTGGCAGCAGCAGCTGCCATCAATTGATGTGGAGATGGGGTAGCAAGCAGAAGCTTAAGATTCTAATAACATCTATAACTATTTCAGAGATTTTCTATCACATACATACATACATTCGTACATACATATGCACTATGGGCAACGCGTTGCTTTATTCTTTTGTGCTGCCTAACGCACGCGTCATTGTGTGTTGCAGTGACTGCTTGTCGCACTGCTTTATACTGCTTGTGCGACTGCACTAGCTCAGCTTGCAATTTGAAAATAATTAACGTAACGAGTGAAGACATATGTAGAAATGAATTTTTATTAGTTATACTTTCTACTTATTAATACAATAATCAAGCGCTTTACCAAAAGCTGGTTAAAAGCCCAATATATTATATACATTTATAGTATAATAAAGCAAAGTGCAAGAGATTACTTTTATTGTTGAATTTACTGTACATGCGGGTAAATGCACAAATTTGTTTCCGATTTCGATAAGTGTGTGATTCAATTGGCGAATTTGTACAAAATGAGAGGTTTCTAGAATTACTTTCTGAGAAGAATTCCTATTTATAAAATTAAATTGGTATCAATAATATGCCTGTGTAAAATTTGCAGCCTACATAACTTTCCCCAACCACCTAAAGTTAAAAATTTAATCAATTGTCAAGAACCTCAAATTGCTGCAGAACCTCCTTTTTTGTTAATTATTGCAAATAGGTAAAAATTTAATCAATTGTCAAGAACGTGAAATTGCTGCAGAACCTCCTTTTGTTGTTAATTATTGCAAATAGTTAAGAATTTAATTAATTGTCAAGAACGTGAAATTGCTGCAGAACCTCCTTTTGTTGTTAATTATTGCAAATAGTTTGCGCTTATTAATGATTAACAATTGAAAGCTATCAACTGATAAAAAGTAAAAGATTTATAATAGTATATTCTCAGTATTACAAGAGGAAAGTCTACCCTAAGCGGTCTCTTTATGTAAACACCTCTTCACAAAACACGCGTGCTCTTTATCTTTGAACAGCTGGCGCCCAATTGACTTCAAATTGTCATAACAATTGATTAGAAACGCCTGGCAAATACATCCACAAAGCTGTTACGACATATAGTTATTTATATTGAAACACAAACAAGATATACGCCCGCGGTTTATTGAAAACAAGAAAACAACTTATACAGAGGCATACATATATTTATGATCAGCATGACGAGACGATATAAATAGGGCGGTCTTATAGAACTATAGAAGCTAAGGACACCAAACTTTGTATGGAGACTTGTCCTATTCAAACTTGGAGAATATTTATTCGAAAACGGATATATTTCATTTCATTTATTCACAAATTGCTGTGTATCTATAATTTAATCAAAAACCCATGAAAAACCGGATATATTCTTTAATTATTTAATATACCGCTCGTTGAAAAATCACTATCAGTGGGCCAACTTTGTTTGTTTATACTTTCTTTCCTCATGACTTATCAAAATCACTGACTATATATATAGCTGTCACAAGAATAAGTAGGTTGAAGTACCTTTGTGGAACCAGGGGAGGGTACGGAATTTACAAGAGTTGGATTCGCACGACACTAACGTTTAATTATCTCTTTTTGTTGTGTTGAATTATTTTTAGAGAGATATATGAAATTTTCATTAGATTTAGATATAGAAAAGCTAAGGAAAGTTATGACAAGTTTTTGTTGTGTTGAATTATTTTTAGAGAGATATATGAAATTTTCATTAGATTTAGATAAAGAAATGCTAAGGAAAGTTGCGAAACTTGTATGTAGCTTCTTAATTTCCTGAACAAAAGAAGAACATTGAAGAAATTTCTCAATGGTTCAGAAATCCCGTCACATTGTGTATTTTCATTGTATTTATTTTGGGAATTTATAATTTTTAATGTTGATTTCCACTCAAATTTCTAAGAAAAAATTTTGATTTTTTTGTGGTTTTCAACCGACTTTAAAAAATGAGGAGTTTCTCAATTCAGCTTTATTTATGTTTTTTACCTCAGAACTTTGGGCTGGGTGAACTGATTTTGATGATTCTTTTCAATTGAAAGCTGGTACTCTCCGTGTGGTCCCATTTCAATTTGATTTAGTTTTGACCATGGTTTCCATAAGAAAACCATATATTAGATCCGAAGTCGGTTTTCTTTTTGACCGACTTTAAAAAGAATGGCATCCATTAGAAAACCATATATTAGATCCGAAGTCGGTTTATTTTTTTGTTAAAATGTTATTATTACAGCACTAGTTCCATCCCTTAAAAAACACCCTATATGACAGATTTAGAATTGCAATGACCATGACTGGTAATTACAAATTGGAAAATAGTGAGTTGAGTGCGAAAATTTGCCAGCAAGCACTAAAAGCGAATGATGATGTGGGCGAGCAACAGCTGCCGCTCACTGACTCGGAACCGTGGTGGGCAGCAGGGAGAGGAGGTGGCATTTGTTACATGCTCGGGAGATGCGCGTACGGGGTGTGTGGCGACATGAATGAAAATGAGCTCAGAGCAGAGAAAATTTCACAATTTTAGATTGGTTACGCGACAAACAGACCAACAGCCAGATAAATTGCGCATAAGCAGATGTCGGAATGGGTGGAAGCGGGATGACAATATCGCATCCGGAAAAGGTGTGAAGAGGGCAGGATTGCATCAAGTTTTGAAATAGACAGATACTCCTAGCGAGGACATGAATGAAAAAGCAAACGAAGTGCATGCGCCTGGCTGTATGCAACGGCAAAGGCGAATATCCGTTCGATGGGAGTAAAAACGAGTAAACCTATTCTTACTATGCAGTTTGTTCACCTTGTAATACTCACCGGGGCCATATTTTATCTTATCTACTCATGTACTAGTATTGCAAATTCTTGCTTAATTGTTTTGTTTATTTCACGATAAGATTGCCAAAGACAATATTTTTCATTATTCCTTACTTTATTAAGAAATGCGTTGTTTTTTACACTTTTTACACTGCACAATAACCGCTGCGCTCGGATGTCACGCTACGAGTGAATTTTCTGCGGCCTACCTATTCTATTTTACATGCCTAGGCGAAGTTGTTTTTAGTTTTGTTTTGATTTTCTATGGAAGCAACGAGATGGAACGAGAAATAGTGCGCAATAACTGGGGGGTGGTGGTGGTTTTTAAGAGTGGTCTATGAAGGGGGTTGGAAGGCAGAGATGTTGGGCGTCAGAGAGCACCAGAAAAAAAGAGCACAGCATGAGAGTAATACCTAATTTTACATCTTGATTGAATTGCTTACAATTTAAGCAAAAAAAGCAAAACGGTATTTAAAGTTAACGACACAGCTGACGTAGCCCTAGTCTGCAGTGTTGCTCCATGATATCTTTAATTCAAGTGTGCACACACTTTGCGCAGCTACTCATATACTTTCGATACTAATGACAATAGAGGTGAACGAAAATTTCGTTTAGGTATCGCGGCTAAACGTGCGACTGTTAAATTTAAGTACTTACCAAATGAAAAATGGTTTAGTATATTCAAAATGTAAATTTCAATTAAATCAATATTTGCATTTAATAAGGATTTCAGCCAATAGAAGGTAATTAAATTTTTGTTTTATTAGTGAGCAATATCTATCAATAGCATCTTCTTCCAACATTTTCAAGTATAAATACTTATACATTTTTATTTTATATAAAAATATTTGAAACATTATTAGTCTTGATAGAAAATATTGGCGTTCGTTTTTTCTTTTCATATTTCTGAATATTATCATATTGCGACTGTGACTCTTGATAAAAGTTAATCGCCTCTACAAAAATCGTTAGTCACTAAGGGCGGAATACTATCGATATATGTAAACATCGATAAATGTGAAATTTCAAAGCTATTGCTGGTGCCAACGTTAGTTTCCCACCTCTAGCCTAGCCATTACGTTCTGGTCGGCTCAAATCAAAGCAACAAAATATAGTGCATTGCTCGCAAAAGCGCCAGCAGAGCGCATTTTGGCCAAAACTGTGCAAGAATAGTGAACGCGTTTGTGAAAAGGCAAAGTAAGTGGCTCCCCACAAAGTGCGCTGCATTTTAAGTGAAAATTTTCGACTGCAACACTTTTTCTCTGCATACGTGTGTAAGAGTGTGTGTGTGTGATTACTTACGCGTATGTGTGCGCGAGCGGGCGCTGTAAATACCTTTACATAATTACGGTCAGTGTATTTGTGCGATGCAATTTTGCCACAAAACATAAAAATTACATACGTACATAAAAAGTGAAAAGAATTGCTGAACAAATTTCGGCATCCATCTTTGCTGCGTGCTTCGTTCTATTTACTCGCGCCACCGACGTCAGCGTCGCGGCTGTTGAATTTATGTCAAATTGGTAACACACACACACACACACACGCATGCACATCAGTGTTGCATGCAGCGCTCCGCTCGGCTCTACATTTGTGTATGTGTTCAGTGTGTGTCCAAGCGCGTTGGTGGGAGAGAGAGTGTGAGTGGTAAACAAAGTGAAAAGAGCAACGCTCAAAGTTCTTTTTAATAAATAGAATTGTTTGTTAACAAATCATATATTCCACAATACGGTGTCCATTGTATGGGGATGTATGCAAAAATAAATTAAGTTGGGCGCGTTCTGCAAACCACGGCGCAGGCGGCAACCCTGTAGCTTGATCGCATTTTTTTTATATATTCTTCAATTTTTTATGCGTGTGCGCCAGCTGCGTTGTCGGCGTCAACAGCAGCAACAACAGCAGCAACGCCTGTGTTTTATGTCCATCGTCAACTCGATTTTCATCGTGCAACATTTGGTGGCTTCTTTCTTTACAGCGCGCAAATGGATAAAATGCTCGTTTTTAGTTTCAATATCAAACGAAAAACAAAAACCAAGAAGTGTGATATTTTCAAATAGCAATTAATAGTTTTGCAAGCGAATTCAAATAAAGCTCCTAAAACCAAACTGCCGCCGAGAGAGGAGCGTACGTTTGCATGTATGGCTGTGTAAGTATGTGTGAGTGAGTGTGCAGCGAAGTGCGAAAGAAAAACGATAAAAAAAATAAACGAAAAAAAACGTCAAGAAGTTACGCCGCATTAGGCTGATAAAAGCGCACAAAGCAGAAACCAGTGAAAAATATACAACACGAAGCGAGTGAAAATAGAAAATTAATAAGCAACAAGAGAAGAAGCAGCACAACGATCAGCAAATTTGTAAAGTGATCAACGTATCAAAGCAACAAAAGAGCAAAAAAATCGAAATAATTTTTCGAGTGTGAAACAATTTCTATAAATACTGAAAATCCAAATCCTCCGTGAACACAACTGGCAGCAGATTCAATCGATCACAAGTACAACACAACAACAAGTGCTAGGCGGGGGAAAGATAACCCCATCATTGGAAGTCGGACGTTGTTGCCGCCGTTGTCGTTGTTACTGTCCGGCAACTGATATTTAGTTCCCAGGCATAGGCTTCGAGCACGGCTCACACACACACCACACACACATAGACGGCCTCAAAATGTCAACGATGGACGTACGAAACAACTCCGCAATGATGAAGCGTGCCGAGCAGCTCAAGCGCTGGGAGGAGTCGGACACAAATCGAGCCGCTGCCACACCACGCCACGAGACTGGCCGTCGCATCAAGTTCAGCTCCGGTTGTGTATTTCTAGCTGCCTGCTTGTCCAGCGACAAAGCCGAGGTGCTGCAGTTACTCGATCAAGGCGCCGACATCAATACGGCCAATGTGGATGGTCTGACGGCATTGCATCAGGTTCGTATGCGTAACGGCTTATCTATTGAGTGTACTCGTGTACTCGTATGTGTGTGTTTGTGATGGAAGTATGAATATACATTGTGTGTACAAATGTACATATGTATGTGTATGTTTGTGTCTAGCATGTTCTCGTGCATGTTGCAATTATAAAAGGGGCCCATTACGTCAGTGCGGCACACTGATTGCAAACACGCGACCTAAGCATTGGGCATTGGGCTGGGCGGCCAACATTTCGAAACTGTTGCGCCCAACTACGCGCCGATTTAAGCCCACAGTGGTTGAACTCAATTGTTTTACTTTAGCCTAGCCAACTAATACATACACATGTATGCATATACTATATGGCGATATAATATAATTAATTATATACCATGGATGTAACCGTGAGTTGTAAAATGAATTAGGACTGAGTTTGGTGTTCCGGGCTATATGTTTTATACTTGTAGATCTTTTCAGTAATAAAGTAATAAATAAATCATTGATAAACAAAAATTCAATACATATATTTTAAAGTTGTTCCCAGCATATAAATGAAAAGATAATAAAATCAACAATATTTAATAATTCCAACTTAAAATTAATCTAGCACAATAACATTACAATCTAATGACACCCCCTATACGTTGGGGGAGTTTTATTTACGTTCTGGCCATGCCTCAACTCACAGCTCAACTCAAATGTGTTCAGAGACGCTAATAGACCTCACAAACAAAAATTTATGTACTTTTGGCAAAAGTAAGTAAAGGGGCTTAGTTCCTATTAGATTATAGCAAGAAAATACATACATACATATGTGTGTATTCTTTTTCTTCAGAGCTAAATCATTTCATTTTTGTTAATTATTTGAAAACCAACCGCTATTTGTGGGCTTCTAAAATTAATGAAGTCATTTCTGATTCAATAACTTAAAAGTTAAATACAAATGATAAATAAATATAGATGTTTACTCTTGTACGGTCGACTCGGTTTGAAAACAAATAGTTGGTTTATAAAAGTAAAATTTTGCTTTTTATTTATTATTCATAAAATCATGAAACCCTCAATAGGAAGCTATTGTAAAGGCCCGAATTTGTATTTGATAGAATCACAAATAATTTTAATTTCGCAGTCAAGACTAAAATGCAATAATATCCTGTAGTTTAGTTGTTATCCGCCCAATATACATATTCAGGACCACTATGCGACTGCGCTTCTATCCATTTTTAATGCCATTTTCTAGTCCCAACGATAAGTTCTGTTGTTGTTGCGTATTGCGATCTGTGCGGTTTCAACACCGCAACAACAACCAGAACAGAACAGCAACGAGTAAAACATTAACAAATACGTTTCTAATGCAAACTGACGATTTACAAGTCGAATGCTGGGAAAACAACAACAGTCTGAAAAGCAGACGCAGCAGAAACGAAGGCAGCGTCGGCATTAAATAAGAAAAATACAAAATTTTCTATTTTTAAATGCCAAGAAAAATATACAATACAGACAACCATGTACACACACACATGCACACACACCTATATACATATGTATATATGTAAGTATGCGCATGCATATAGAACATTTTCGCAAAATCATTTTCATTTTTCCTTAGCCTCGTCTCCTATTTGTTCGTTTGTTCTTTTGCCTTTGCTTGAAAAAGAGAATGAAAAGAAAACAACAAAAAATTACAAAGAATTTATTTAACATTTTGCTGATACAATTTAAGCTTTGCTATTTGCTTTTGATGGAACATTAAAAAAAAAAGCCCAATTACTTTCAATGCAAAAACCGCTGGGCAAAGACCCTAAGAAAGAAAACAAGTAGTCGAAATAATCTTAACAAGTTGGGGCGTAATATATTATGTCAGATCTGTTCTCCTTTTTTTTCGTAAATCATCTACATGTTAAAATTTGTTAGATGATTGGAGATCGTTCATTCATCAATCTGTAATATCGCTTGAGATGAGACTACGCAATATTTTTTGAGATTGTTTTTAGGTACATCGTTCTACTACGGTTTATATGTAGATTTAAAGTAAACTTTTTTGTGGCATACATATGAAATGTGTATGTTCTATCATTTTCGATATTTCTATTAGTAGTTCAAGCATAGCTGATAATAACTTTGAACTTCTATATAAGGCTATAATTGTTTGAAGATTTAATTCCGTATCGAATTTTTCTAGAAATATGTTCAAGTTCCAGAATACTATTAAATATATTAGTAAACTTTGAAATACTTTAGTTGTTTTATGATGATAAAAGATATTCTACAAAAGTTAGATACATCTAAATTAATGATGATCAACTAAAATTTAATAAACATATCGAAATCTTTAAACATTGATTCAACAATATACTATACAAAATAAAATGTTTGAATGGCTTCGCAAAAATAAGGGATCATGATTACATTTGTAGAATCTGCCACGCCTCCTCAGTCAGTCTATGCACTCGTCAACTTCCACCTGGAAGAGTATATGTAAACAGTTAGAGTATTTTTGGCGCTTACTGTACATCTACATGCTCTAATTCTAATAATTGATTTTAATTATGCTGCGCCTGCTAAAACTTGTGGATTTTCACCGTTTAACCGCGGCGCACTTGTTAACGAGATGCTAATGCGGTGGCTAGAGAGTAACGATGTTGTTAGTGGATAGGTGTATCTGTGTGTACGTCTGTATATGTGCGAGAGGTGCCTCTATAATTACAATAACAATGAGAACTGTACAAAGTTTTAAATTACACACACTCACGTTGCTTGTGGCGGGGATTGTTGTTGTTGCGACTAAACCGCAAGTGAATGAATTTCCATGGCATTTACTCATTATATTAATTAACTCATATGCTGAGTCTTGTTGCACCATTTTTCTTTATCTTTCTTCTTTTTTGTCCGCCGCCTGAATGCGGCTTATTTACAATTTCAATTCAACATTTACAATTTTTTTGAGGCGGGCGTGCCCGCCACTCCTTCACACACCCAATTCACAGTCTAACTTTTTGTTTAGTCTTCACGCATAAACATATTGGCACCTGCATTCCATTTTCAATGGCAAATGACAACGACCAGAGTAGAGTCCCCCATTCAATGGTGTTGTTGTGGCCACCTTGGCTATAAATGATGCGGGTGGCTGCCGCCTCATTCCCATTCCACATGTCCGTGTCTGTGTCCGCCAATCGCTTGACTTTGATATTTGTCGTGCGTTGACATTCAACTCGCATTAAAATTATGTATTTTCAAAAGAAATTGCAATAAATTACATGTGTGTTTACATATGTTTCTCTTTTCAATTCAAAGATAATTTGCTTATTAAATTGGTTCAGCTTGATGAGCACGATATGTGTATATTTTGGCAGCTATTTATATCTGCCGATTCCAATCCACATCATTGGGGCAATATGTTCTGTAGAACGTAGTAAAACACATATGAGTATATTGGAATTTCGTTTTTTTAGTGCAATATTTAAACAACAAATTGTTCACACGTTTGCAAGCAAATAAATAAATAAACGATCCATTAAATACCAGTTTTTTTCTCAACATAATTTCCAACACTTTCATTTGAAATTAAAAAAAGAAATAGTTAATGTATAAAAGCACCACTATGGCTTATTTAATGACTTTGAATAGCTGGTTAAAGAGATTTTGTAGCCTCCTTAAGCACGAAATTTAAAAATATTGTGTTTGAAATTGATATTTATTATTCTTTAAAGAGGGCATCATAGGTTAGAAAGGAAGAATGAAATATCTGCCAGCCCATAAAGTATATGATGTAGACTCTCCTAGTCCCTAGGCAACAAGAGCTTATTTAATTTTTTGGATTTCTTATTTTTGCTTATGCTATGCAATTGTAACATTCTCTCTTGTATGTCCTTTAGATGCTCGACAGATGAATTAGTATGATCTAATGAAAGCGCCCATTTGTTGCTTAACTTTTAGTAAGAATTTTGCTTATTCTATCTTATAATATTATTGACATCTTTCGAAAGCTTCTCGTATTCTTTCAGCGTTAATATTATAGATGATTTTCATATCGTCTTCATTTTTTGAAAGACAAAATTATTTTTCTCTTGGTTTCAGTTAAAATTTGGTGTTGAAATAACAGCTGTAAGGATTTATTATATATTTAGTATCTATTGCAACAAAGTCCCCAGTCCCGAACCACCAATTAGTTTCCTCTAGTATTTTGATATTTTTATGCCTATAGCTAACTTTCCGTCTTCTAATTTCTATAATTGAGATATAAAGTATTGGCTGTGATTAATATAGCAGACGCTCAGGTATTGCTTTATAGATTTATCTTAAGTGCTAATCAAATTTACGATTAGTAGTATTTACTCGAATAGGAAGATCAAAATAACAAGTGAAACATCTCTTCAACACTATTTTTAGATCGAAGTTCAATAAAAAGTGCAACTTAAGTGCTATGACATCTTATTCTTCTATTTCCATTTGTGTATATGAAGTAGACTCTCCTAGTCCCTAGGCAACACGAGATTATTTAATTTTTTGGATTTATTATTTTTGCTTATGCTATACGACTGTAACATTCTTTTTTTTTTGCTAGACAGATGAATTAGTATGATCTATTGAAAGCGCTCATTTGTTGCTTAACTTGTAGGAAGAATTATGCTTATTCTATCTTATAATATTATTGACATCTTTCGAAAGCTTCTCGTATTCTTTCAGCGTTAACATTATAGTTGATTTTGTTATAGTTTTCATTTTTTGAAACAACAAAATTAATTTTTTCTTGGTTTTAGTTCAAATTTATTGTTGAAATAATAGCTGTAAGGATTTACTAGATATTTATTATCTATTGCAACAAAGTCCCGAACCAGAAACAAGCTTCCTATGGTATTTTGATATTTTTATGCCTGTACTTAACTTTCCGTCTTCTAATTTCTATAATTGAGATATAAAGTATTGTGATTAATATAGCAGACGCTCAGGTATTGCTTTACAGATTTATCTTAAGTGCTAATCAAATTTACGATTAGTACTACTTACTCGAATAGGAA